TTATTTCAAGCATTCCTGTCAAGTTTTGTCATAATCAGTTCAATAGTTTGAGAAAAATCTAGTATAATGTAAGATGACATCTACAGCGATTCGAGCAAAATTTCTTCGAAAAATCCAAACCAAGCCACATCATGATAGAATATAGTGTGGACCAATAAATGATCAAATATTTATCTCATGTGCCTACAAACAGTTGAATATGATACAAAAGATGACTTTAGGATGATAAATACTACTAATGGACCTCTTTGTCTTCCTTATAAGGTCTCTTATGGTCCATTTATACCTCTCATTTCTTCAAAATTTCTACTTTTTAGGCCAATAAATAAAAATTTTAGGGTAACTTTCACTCATTTATGATAGAAATGTTATAATAAATGATTAATTGAAGTATTCAATCTGAATGAACTATCCGTATAAAAGTTTACTGTCTCCAAGGTGGTTTCGATAAGTCCTTACGTAAAACTTAAATTTACGCCGCGTTCCAGAGAGGGACATAAAAAGCTTCTCTTTTGGTGAATAATTTGTTGTTACTGCTTTAAAAATAATTTCATTTACTTAAAACTATATATTTATTAAAGTATTTCTTAGGAAAATTTTTCTAGTATAGCAGAATATAAGAAATAAGGAGAAAAAGCTCCCCAAAGCTCTAAGTATGGCTTGTTCTGTCAACTAATATTCATGGTAAAGTCCTATTTCAAGGAAATTTTCTCATAAAATGTGTTTTGGAGACTCAATCTACTCAGAATATTTCATTATTTGTAATATTTCACTTAAATAGCAAGAAATTTTAACACATGAGAGTACTCACAAGGTCAAAGGTGCATGTACAGCTTCCCATAAAGAAGACTTTTTTGTTAAATAAACTGAATGTGACTTTTTTCCTTTGTAATACTGGTTATTTCAAGCATTCCTGTCAAGTTTTGTCATAATCAGTTCAATAGTTTGAGAAAAATCTAGTATAATGTAAGATGACATCTACAGCGATTCGAGCAAAATTTCTTCGAAAAATCCAAACCAAGCCACATCATGATAGAATATAGTGTGGACCAATAAATGATCAAATATTTATCTCATGTGCCTACAAACAGTTGAATATGATACAAAAGATGACTTTAGGATGATAAATACTACTAATGGACCTCTTTGTCTTCCTTATAAGGTCTCTTATGGTCCATTTATACCTCTCATTTCTTCAAAATTTCTACTTTTTAGGCCAATAAATAAAAATTTTAGGGTAACTTTCACTCATTTATGATAGAAATGTTATAATAAATGATTAATTGAAGTATTCAATCTGAATGAACTATCCGTATAAAAGTTTACTGTCTCCAAGGTGGTTTCGATAAGTCCTTACGTAAAACTTAAATTTACGCCGCGTTCCAGAGAGGGACATAAAAAGCTTCTCTTTTGGTGAATAATTTGTTGTTACTGCTTTAAAAATAATTTCATTTACTTAAAACTATATATTTATTAAAGTATTTCTTAGGAAAATTTTTCTAGTATAGCAGAATATAAGAAATAAGGAGAAAAAGCTCCCCAAAGCTCTAAGTATGGCTTGTTCTGTCAACTAATATTCATGGTAAAGTCCTATTTCAAGGAAATTTTCTCATAAAATGTGTTTTGGAGACTCAATCTACTCAGAATATTTCATTATTTGTAATATTTCACTTAAATAGCAAGAAATTTTAACACATGAGAGTACTCACAAGGTCAAAGGTGCATGTACAGCTTCCCATAAAGAAGACTTTTTTGTTAAATAAACTGAATGTGACTTTTTTCCTTTGTAATACTGGTTATTTCAAGCATTCCTGTCAAGTTTTGTCATAATCAGTTCAATAGTTTGAGAAAAATCTAGTATAATGTAAGATGACATCTACAGCGATTCGAGCAAAATTTCTTCGAAAAATCCAAACCAAGCCACATCATGATAGAATATAGTGTGGACCAATAAATGATCAAATATTTATCTCATGTGCCTACAAACAGTTGAATATGATACAAAAGATGACTTTAGGATGATAAATACTACTAATGGACCTCTTTGTCTTCCTTATAAGGTCTCTTATGGTCCATTTATACCTCTCATTTCTTCAAAATTTCTACTTTTTAGGCCAATAAATAAAAATTTTAGGGTAACTTTCACTCATTTATGATAGAAATGTTATAATAAATGATTAATTGAAGTATTCAATCTGAATGAACTATCCGTATAAAAGTTTACTGTCTCCAAGGTGGTTTCGATAAGTCCTTACGTAAAACTTAAATTTACGCCGCGTTCCAGAGAGGGACATAAAAAGCTTCTCTTTTGGTGAATAATTTGTTGTTACTGCTTTAAAAATAATTTCATTTACTTAAAACTATATATTTATTAAAGTATTTCTTAGGAAAATTTTTCTAGTATAGCAGAATATAAGAAATAAGGAGAAAAAGCTCCCCAAAGCTCTAAGTATGGCTTGTTCTGTCAACTAATATTCATGGTAAAGTCCTATTTCAAGGAAATTTTCTCATAAAATGTGTTTTGGAGACTCAATCTACTCAGAATATTTCATTATTTGTAATATTTCACTTAAATAGCAAGAAATTTTAACACATGAGAGTACTCACAAGGTCAAAGGTGCATGTACAGCTTCCCATAAAGAAGACTTTTTTGTTAAATAAACTGAATGTGACTTTTTTCCTTTGTAATACTGGTTATTTCAAGCATTCCTGTCAAGTTTTGTCATAATCAGTTCAATAGTTTGAGAAAAATCTAGTATAATGTAAGATGACATCTACAGCGATTCGAGCAAAATTTCTTCGAAAAATCCAAACCAAGCCACATCATGATAGAATATAGTGTGGACCAATAAATGATCAAATATTTATCTCATGTGCCTACAAACAGTTGAATATGATACAAAAGATGACTTTAGGATGATAAATACTACTAATGGACCTCTTTGTCTTCCTTATAAGGTCTCTTATGGTCCATTTATACCTCTCATTTCTTCAAAATTTCTACTTTTTAGGCCAATAAATAAAAATTTTAGGGTAACTTTCACTCATTTATGATAGAAATGTTATAATAAATGATTAATTGAAGTATTCAATCTGAATGAACTATCCGTATAAAAGTTTACTGTCTCCAAGGTGGTTTCGATAAGTCCTTACGTAAAACTTAAATTTACGCCGCGTTCCAGAGAGGGACATAAAAAGCTTCTCTTTTGGTGAATAATTTGTTGTTACTGCTTTAAAAATAATTTCATTTACTTAAAACTATATATTTATTAAAGTATTTCTTAGGAAAATTTTTCTAGTATAGCAGAATATAAGAAATAAGGAGAAAAAGCTCCCCAAAGCTCTAAGTATGGCTTGTTCTGTCAACTAATATTCATGGTAAAGTCCTATTTCAAGGAAATTTTCTCATAAAATGTGTTTTGGAGACTCAATCTACTCAGAATATTTCATTATTTGTAATATTTCACTTAAATAGCAAGAAATTTTAACACATGAGAGTACTCACAAGGTCAAAGGTGCATGTACAGCTTCCCATATTAGGTGTAATACCACCATTGATTTTCCCCTATTAGTCTTTGTTAAATTTGCACTTTTCAAAAAATTGTGCAGAATTTATCTTTGTTTCAAATAAAGAAATACTTGGCATGAGTAAAGTTTTATTCTCTCCAGTACTATAGAAAAAATTTCACATAACATTTCATTGCATATAAGAAAATAACCATCACTGGAAGTTAACCAATCAAATTTTCCCCCTTTTTTAACCTGTATACAAGCTTTAGTAACCATGTAACCTCAAGTTTCCAAAATGTTCTATAGAAACCCCAAATAAAAAGATAATGGTGCTTTGAAATACCCAAGATATATGTTTATGACCCAGAAGTGTTTTACTGCAATGAAATGTAGGATCAATTACCTACAACTGTCTAATTCAAGGGAATATTTCTTTTCGACCTATTTTCGTATGCAACCGGATGTGACGTACTATGATTTGGTGGTATTACACCTTTATTTGTCGTAAAATGTGTAATATAAACAGAACCATCACTATTTTCATGAAATGCAGTAGTTCGTTGTAATCTTTCGGACACTTTGATAGACATGCATGCAAGACAGCTATATCAAATTCATAGAATTTCATCAAAATATTTAGTCCGAGATTACTCTGACGTCCAACGGCTGTTTTGCCAGACAAGCTTGGGCCCCAGCTTGTCTGGCAAAACAGCCGTTGGACGTCAGAGTAATCTCGGACTACAAAATATTATACATTCGACTCACCATGGATTCGTATTTGCTTAATCTAGCTGTTCGGTTATTTGCTGCTGGCTTGTCTTCAAAACCAAACAGATCTATACCGTCGCAAAATGATCTGGAGGACGTTCAGTTTTTTATCGTCTACACAACTGTTAAATTTTCAGTCTGTAACAATATTTTCTGATTAAATAAGCAAAACTCTTGGAATGTTATCATGCCTTGGACAGACAATAGATACTCATACTTTTGAATTGTAGTATCATTCTAAATAACTTATGTTTGCAAAGTCCTTCTGTAATACAGCAGTTATTAAAATAGTCAAAATCATTATAGAAAAATAAAATTAACATATCAAACTGAATCTTTGGTATCATTTGGTGTTTCAAAATGAATGTCAGAGTATACATAGAACGTAAGTGAACATATCATAGAAAGACACCGTTTTCATAGTGTGGATTTCTTGTTGTTTAACATGGACATCATTTTTTTAATTGGGAAACTATAAAATGAATAAAAGAATGTTAAGGGTATCAGTCATTTAGACAGGAACGTAACGACACAGTAACTTGTAGTCAAAAGACAGCTAGAAGTCAACATATACTCTTCAAGAAAATACGAGTGTTTCAAGTATGCAATATGTCAATCTCTATCTTTTCTTGGGTCTTAAACTTTAATCAGGTAATTAGACAGAAAATACTAAAATATGCCATAATCATCAATTTATTAATACTTTTTTTTAATGTATTTAGATAAATTTGTCCCGCCTTTAACTACATATAATATTGACATAAAAGACATCCAGGAGCATTACGAAGATATTGTGAAAGAATTGGAGAACACTGATATACTAGACCCTCTGTTGGAATACTACGTCCTTAATTTGGATGAGCACGACACAGTTGTCTATACAGACAAACCAAACAGAGAGAGGAATTCTGATTTGGTTAAAATTCTTTGCAAGAAAGAATCCGCCGACTGGATTCCAGGATTTATTTTAGTACTACAAGATAAAAAATACGTATTGCTATTATCTTTAATTCAACACAAAGGAAAAAGGGTACCACAAGGTAGGACAATTTGAGAAAATTTTATTATGATACTGTCTTGATGTTCAAACATTTACTATATAAATCAAATTAAGTTAAATTGTAAATTAGAACCGTGAAGAGTTGATAAATACGCATCGTCTTTATCACATTGGATTGCATACACCATGATTGTAAACTGTTATGCTATGAAAGATCATAAACAATAACTTTAAGGAGACTTAACATTTTTAGCCTATCATGAACTATGACAATAATATGTCGCGATGTTTAAACACTTTGTTCTTTTTCTTCTAAACAGCAAAGTTAAAAAAAAAATAGTCATTCGATTCTTTGAATTTGAATTGCTTTGTAATAAAGCACTACAAACCAGTAAAAGTCTGAAATGGCCTATATCTGTACTCGACTGTACTGATTTTTACTCGATCAGTCTGAATTGGTCTGAATTTTACTCGACATTACTCGACCCCAGTCTTAACCATACTCGACTGTACTGATTTGTACTTGACCCTTATCTTTGCCGTGGAAAATAGTCTGAACTATTACTCGACCAGTCTGAAACAGTCTTAACTCATTCTCGACCTGAACTCGACCATTTCTTTCAGTCTAATCCATACTCGACCAAAGGTCTGAACAATATTCGACCAATCTGAACCATACTTGACCAAATAACCTCTACTTTTTTTTAATTTTAACTGTTAAAATATATTTCTTTGTAACTGACATGACAACAGCCACAATAAAATAAAGATACATATAAAACAGATTTTTACATCCTTACATGATTCTCAAATTTATCAAATAGAGATAGTTAAATCAAATTATCTTATATAATAATTTAATTATATTAATTTTAAAGTTTTAGAGTTATGTTAAAAAAAAGTTTTTCTTTTACCTAAAAACCACACCTATACTGAGGGTAATAAAACCTTATTAACACGATTAAGGTGCTTCGTGTTTGGCATGTGTTTTTTTTTTTTTTTAAAACTCAATTTTCCTAAATTCCTAAATAAAAACTACATAGGTTTCATGGTTACATACAATAGTTATATAATTATCTTTTTAATGAGGTTAACAACAGCCAAAAAACCACTGAAATTGTTTAACCTTATATGAGAAATATATCTATTCTTATTATAATTTGGGATATATTATATATAATATATATCAAAAAGGGATAAAAAATTAAAGAAATGAATACAATTTATCTTCTGATTAATGGTAATGTATAAAGTAATACCTCCTGCTTGGGGAAAACTCATTAAAAAGATCACACCTGGTCAGAGAGTATTAAATTCTAAATAACATTCATTAAAAATTGCAACATCCTGTAAAACTTAAATTGCAAGGCCTTTTGAATTCACTAGATAAGTAATACACGAGTTTAAGAAAAATAGGGCTTTCTTTTTACCTGTAAAACACACATGTACAGAGGTAATTAAACCTTATTAAAGTGCTTCTTGTATGCCATGTCTTTAATTTTGACAAAAATTATTTAAATTTAATTGAAATAAATTTTTACTGCAACTTTGGAACACATTTCCTTTTTTAAAAGATTATCAAGGATTGTTATTAATTCTATTATCATGATTATATTAAATTCTTTGTTTTACAAAACAAAGGTGTGATTATTAAAATTTATTAAGTTGCTTTATATACTATTTTAAATATATTTTAATAAAAAAAAATGTTCACTGCATTATTAACTGAACTAAACTGACACCATAAATCTATACAAGGCTTAAGTAAATGGTGAAAATTGTCCAGTAACCATAAAATATATCTGAAACATTCCAAAAATTTTGAATAACATTGAAAATATTAGTCACAATTCAGTTTTGAGATTATTTGATCAGCTTGTTTTATTTTTTATTTTAAAGGTGATATAAATATGTAAGTATCAATTTTTAGATTGTGACGTTCCCTTGTCACCATCTTATGGTGTTTATATATCTCAACTCGTACGATTCGCTCGTGTATGTAACAACGTATTAGATTTTAGCGAGAGAAATTTATGTATTACTGAAAAATTATTACACCAGGGTTTTCGATATCATAAACTAGTCAAAACATTTACTAAATTTTATCATCGGTATAAGGACATCATTCGTAAATATAACTCAACATGCAGACATCTTATACGTTCGGGTATTTCACATCCAATCTGTTTTGGTAATATTCTTTACAAAGCACAAAAATGTCAGTATTCACCTCAAAAGCTAACAAAACCTTTAAACAGACTTATTAAGAAGGGATATAGTTACGATACTGTTGTCAGGTCATTAAAGATTGCATATTTTGGCTTTAATATTGATTCACTTATAGGGTCTTTGCATCGGAATTAACACATTTATTCTAAAACCAGTTGTTGACATGACACGGGTTATGTTCTTCTCATATATTTTATGACGGTCTAATACTAAACCCCTAACAGGAGGGATTGTGCCTGATATTCATATGATGAAGACATAATCTTTCAATCAGTTTAATTGAGGTCTGGAGCTGGCATGTCAGTAACTGCTAGTAGTCTGTTGTTATTTATGTATTATTGTCATTTTGTTTATTTTCTTTTGTTTCCTATTCCGACATCAGACTCGGACTTCTCTTATACCGAGTTTTACTGTGCGTACTGTTGTGCGTTTGTTTTTTCTACATTGGCTAGAGGTATAGGGGGAGGGTTGAGATCTCAAAAAACATGTTTAACCCCGCCGCATTTTTGCGCCTGTCCCAAGTCAGGAGCCTCTGGCCTTTGTTAGTCTTGTATCATTTTTAATTTTAGTTTCCTGTGTATAATTTGGAGTTTAGTATGACGTCCATTATCACTGAACTAGTATACTTATTTGTTTAGGGGCCAGCTGAAGGACGCCTCCGGGTGCGGGAGTTTCTCGCTGCATTGAAGACCCATTGGTGGCCTTCGGCTGTTGTCTTTTCTATGGTCAGGTTGTTGTCTCTTTGACATATTCCCCATTTCCATTCTCAATTTTAAGTGTTGATGAATATGGTGTTGAAGTTATATTATGTTTATTGTGAAATTTTGGTTTTCATATTGAATACATTTTTAATTTCAAATTGTTGTTCAAATTTCTAGCCAGGGAAAATAGCTGGTAAAACAGTTCCTAAATTGATGAAATACAATAGATAGATACAAAAATAGGTCTAGGTTGGTTAAGATTTGGTCGAGTATGGTTCAGACTAGGTCGAGTATGGTTCAGACTAGGTCGAGTATAGTTCAGACTAGGTCGAGCATGGTTCAGACTAGGTCGAGCATGGTTCAGACGCAAACAAAATAGTTAAGTATTGGTTGAGTAAAGGTCGAGTGCAAGATCAAACTGTAAAGTATGGTTCAGACTACAGTCGAGTATTATCAAGTAACTTTCAGACCAATTCAGACTGGTCGAGTAAAAATCAGTACAGTTGAGTACAGATATAGGCCATTTCAGACTTTTACTGGTTTGTAGTGAAGGTAAAGGAACTTGTTTGAGTTTTCAATATTACTTGGATAGATTGGTGGGCGTTAATTCAAGTTGGATTATTAATCCAAAGACGTAAACTATGATGTAAGAAGATTTTCTTTGTACATAACTGTAAACAAATTGTTATACGTTAATAATTCCAGGTGATCATCTCTGTAAAATTAAAATAGTATGATAGTAGGCGAGTTTACACTTGAACTGAGAAAAATTAGAAAATAGTGAAAATTCCTATAAAAAGATACTATTTTTACTAATAAATTGATATATCAGTCCAGAAAAGAGTACTAGTATTTACAAACATTTTTTTAAAGATTAAAAATGAGCAAACTTTCTTGAAAGATATTTGATTTTTTTGGCGTTTTGTGGCAACATGTCTTCTTTGGTAAGGAGTTGCTCATAAATAAATATTAATATAATGATTTAAAAATTAGTCAGCTTTGACAGATGAACGAGCAGCCAATCCTGCATCCAAAATTCAATTTAGCCAAAAGATAAAAGATAGTTTCAGTAACTTAATATCAAGGCATCTAATTAAACTAGAAACTTTTGACCTGGCAACGAAAGAAAAAGCCAAAAACCTATCTTAAACTATCGGAATAAACTTTAACAATACCAAATACAGAGTACCTATATGATACTTTAAATCCAAATATTTTATATTAGTATTTCCAGAAAGAGTCCTGTATGACACCACCTATAAAATGAGCATAAGAGTCAATGGTATAAATGCAAGTGCGATAGAATTACAACTTGCCAGACACGCCGACATTGATAATTTGTGTCGCCAATTTGCAAAATTATCAGTGAGCAATATTAAACAAGGATCTGTGCTATTATTGGTTCATCCGATATCTCCAGATATATGGCGGAAGTCATCAGAGGAAGAGAAGCAGAAACTTTTAGAGGAATTTATATATCAGCTGATTTATCAATCAGATGTGAAAAACCTGATACAGAAGGAGATTGATGTTACCATTGAAGTTAATGAGATCAAGAATGTATTTGGAGATCCTGCATGGAGAGGTCAGTGTCACTTAAGACTTGGAAATTAAGATACGCCCCAGTGTCTCTAATTGAAAATAATTATAGTGTTGAAATTTTGTTGCGATTGATTGACAACGATGTTATTTAACTTGTACATAGCCTATAATTCGTAATTATTTTCTCAGTTGTGTTCAATGTCAAGCATGAATAAGAAAAATACACAAAGAAAGCTCTACTGTCTTGAAGTATACTACTTTGTTTCCTAAAACATGAATAAGCTATTGAAATTTTAGACTTAAAACAATAAGAAAAGAAATAGTTTAGATATGTCTCAATCATTATTCTCCATTACTCGTAAAATAATGTAGATGTGTTTATGTCGTTTCAGTGAAGAAATCATCAGACCTTACAAAAGAACAACAACAACTTGAAGATAACTGGACATATTTGGCTGAAGAAATGGAAGTGAAAAAGATAATCGAATATTTCATAGATCGTGATGCAATGACTGTCCTGGAAAGACAGAAAATAATGGATCTACCTGGAAGACGACAACAGGCAAATAGATTTCTTACTATCCTGAAGCATAAGTTGGGGGAAGTAACAATTCAAGATTTGATTGATGGATTAATGGCTACTGGACAGAAATTTATCGGCGGTAGATTGATGGAGAAGTTACTTTGTATAGGTACGTTTTATATTTAAAAATGGAATCATTCATTTATATATTCTGTTATTGAAACTAACTTTTTTGTTGTTTTGTTTTCCCTTTTGATAGTGACTATAGGTTTTCCCGCGCAGGTGGTTTATAAGAATCCCAGAATTTCAAAATGAAGTTATGAGAGATTGATAATGGATGTTTTTTTTTCACTAGAAGTACATGAAAGTTAAACAGCGTACATTCACAAACTGGTAGTAAAGTTTATTTTCATACAACGTTTGTTTTCTTCTTTGAACTTGTTAAATTAGACTGAATCATTTTTGTGTTCTATTAAGTCTTTGATTTCTAAATTCTCGAACAACACATGAGGGTCTGAATAATTAAGTCTTCGTTGCTGTGGTCTTAAATTATTTAGACCATTTTCTATATTATTTATTAGTGGGCCCATTATTTCCTTTTCTTTATATATTATCACGCTGTTTATTCTTTAATTTTTTGCTTACTATTATTTGCCCTGTAAACTCTATCAAGACCATTATAGATTATGAAAATATGCCATATCACGTGATAAAAGATCATAACCTGCAAACGCAACAGAAATTGGTAAATAATATCTTCATAGTAACTGATCGGATTGTTTGTGATGCATTGGTCAATGACAAATTAACGAAACGAAAAATAAACAAAAAACAAACATAAAAAAATTAGAATGCATGTAAAAGAAATATTACTCATCAATAAATATAAGTTATGTTGAGCGAATGCACTTAAGTGATATGCTGCAAATTATCAACATATATTGACTAGTGCTATCAGACATAAATTTTTACTCACAATTCAGAGACTTTGTCCATTGTAATTGTCTTGCACTTTATTTATATATATATATATATATATATATACAAGTCTAAATTGAAAACAACGTTCAAACCTATGATTGAGTTGGATAAAAACCGCAATTTTTATACGTGTGCATGCAAAACAAATTTCTTGGTAGAGGGGTCTAAATACAGCACAAATAACATTTTCCAAAAGACAAAAAAAGTGAAAAGTATATTTTAACAAAACGCATTTGACTAGCAGGTCGAACAACGGATGGTCTTAAACCCTGCTGACTGCCATTGGCGATTGCCAAATAAACGGATCACCAGATGTAACAAAATGGATCTTAACTATTAATTTAATACCAAACAGAAAACAATAAACGTGCGGAAAAGATGGTATACCGCAAACAAAAGGTGCAAAAATTAGTACACCATATCCGGATTTCGACAATTAATGTCTCTTCAGTGATGTTAGGAATCGAAACGATATTTGGAAGGCCATATGATTAACCTCAATTTAGGGTAGACTGTTGAATTTCGAAGAGTCGTAATAGGATGAACGGATCATACAAACCCGAGGGCAAATATAATACAAGCCCAAACGAAAAAATATAAACAAGTCTTAATTGAAAACAACGTTCAAACCTATGATTGCGTTGGATAAAAACCGCAATTTTTATACGTGTGCATGCAAAACAAATTTCTTGGTAGAGGGGGTCTAGATACAGAACAAACAACATTTTCCAAAAGACCAAAAAAGTAAAAAAGTATATTTTAACAAAACGCATTTGACCAGCAGGTCGAACAACGGATGTTCTTAAACCCTGCTGACTGCCATTGACGATTGCCAAATAAACGGATCACCAGATGTAACAAAATGGATCTTACCTATTAATTTAATACCAAACAGAAAACAATAAACGTGCGGAAAAGATGGTATACCACAAACAAAAGGTGCAAAAATTAGTACACCATATCCGGATTTCGACAATTAATGTCTCTTCAGTGACTTTAGGAATCGAAACGGTATTTGGAAGGCCATATAATTTACCTTAATTTAAGATAGACTCTTGAATTTCGAAGAGTCATAATAGGATGAACGGATCATACAAACCCGAAGGCAAATATAATACAAGCCCAAACGAAAAAATATAAACAAGTCTAAATTGAAAACAACGTTCAAACCTATGATTGCGTTGGATAAAAACCGCAATTTTTATACGTGTGCATGTAAAACAAATTTCTTGGTAGAGGGGTCTAAATACAGCACAAACAACATTTTCCAAAAGACAAAAAAAGTGAAAAGTATATTTTAAGAAAACGCATTTGACTAGCAGGTCGAACAACGGATGTTCTTAAACCCTGCTGACTGCCATTGACAATTGCCAAATAAACGGATCACCAGATGTAACAAAATGGATCTTAAGTATTAATTTAATACCAAACAGAAAACAATAAACGTGCGGGAAAGATGGTATACCGCAAACAAAAGGTTCAAAAATTAGTATATATACTAGAAGATGTACAATTGGACAAGTGTTGAAACGAAGAGTTTTTAAATTTCGCGGGGAGTACGTCGACTGATCATGCGCGAAAGCGTATAAGACAGGGATCGATAACGGTCTCCGAATTGGGTTATTTTCTAAAAAATTGGCGTTTTCTGTGGAAAAAAGATTATTTCAAAGACAAATTTAGGAAGTACAAAACACTTTATTAATACGTTATATCACAAATATTTCCGACTTTGTATGGTTTCAGAGGAGATGCGGCTCTTCCTTTAGTAGTATAGATAATTACATGTCATTCATTTAGAAGTTGAAAACATTCATCTGCATGAAATCTACCTGCAAGCGAAAAGTAATTGTTGCGATCTCAGTTTTGCCATACATAAACAGATTATTTGGTAGAATTTAATTGTTAATTTATTTCATAAAAACAGAACCAATAACATTTCAGGCTAGAATGCACTGAAATTTCATAAACAATTGGTTTCATCTGATACTTTTAACCATTTACCTGCATCTATACTGTCTTACTACTTCATGACAAATCTTTTTGGGAAATTGACATGTGTACCTTATTACCTTGTTCCATGAACAGAACCAATTGAGTATTTTGCTGAGCACTATGAAACTTTATGAGAAAAAAATCTGTGTGTACTAAATTCAATTTATTATGTTTTATTAAAATATTGAGTTTCATTTGATATAGATTGTTTGAGAGACACATACAAAGACCCTCAAAACTACGAAATGATCCTGGATGAGATGGTTAGTTCGACGATGCTTCAAACAGTGGCAAAATTTGACGACGAGAGGATCCCTCATCACATCCGGAATATATTAACACCAGAATGTGGCAAATCAAGGAGAGATAGAGCGCATCTTTTTATGCAGTATGTTTTGTTGAATGATGAAGTCCTTCGATCATTTGAAAATGTTTTTGCAACCAAAAAGTATGTTGTTTTAACGAAACATACATGTGATGATCACACACTAAGATCGTCGAAAGGTAATAAATTGAAATATTTTGTCATATTTTTTATACAAATTTTCATGCTAAATTTTGCAAGACAAAAATATTGCAATTAAAATCAGAAGGGATACTGTACGTTTATCAGCGTTTGTTATACTAATTATACGTATACCTGACAATTAGATAAAGAACGATTAGATAAAGGAAACCATTCAGAAACATATGACTATCCAGGCAAATTGCTCATTCTTCCTAAACAATTATGCCCACTTCTAAGTATCAGTGATTGATGTAATTTATGGTGTTTTGAAGTAGTTGATACAATTATCTAGATGTTGGATCGAATGAAACAGTAATAGATTCGAAGGTTTAGACTTGGTATTAGTTGACACGAAAGTAGAGGAATGTGGAAACGGTCAGTTAGATGAAAGACCAAATCACTTCATTATTAAAGGTAATGCAATGATTGGGTCTTTCATGTAATGATATGGATTTTTATAGAGAAAAGAGAAAGTACGTCAAAAGTCTGGGGTCTAGAAATGATTTGAACAGAGGTCTGGGGTGTCTGAGCTTTTTTTTATATAAAAGACCAGGGTGTCTGAAACAATAATACCGAATTCTCTGGAAGTGTGGAAGTGATTTAAGAAAATGTAATGAACAAAGTCGCAATTGCTGCGAAATCAGAAGATGGAGATGTGATGGATTGAAATTTCAGGTGTAAGGTAATGGTAAACGTAAAGGTTTCATGTGTGGGAATGATTGACAGAACTATAACTGATAAGGAAGCAATTGTTACGAAATCATAGGTTATGGAGGTGTTGATTGTAATTTCAGGTTTCAGGTTAGGGGTATTGCGGGGGTATCTGACGTAGGAACGATTGAGTAAAATGTGCTTGATAATAAGATCTCAGATGTAATAGGTACTGATTTATGTTGTGCAGAGGTTGTGTAATAATAGGAAAGACACGTTTGATTTCTATCGATGAGAAAGTACGTCAAAGTTGGCACTGTTGGAATTATGATTCGTACACCAGTGTTATGGTCAATACATAGGTCTTAGGTATTTAAGTGATGTTGCAAGAGTCTTGTAAGTATGAGTCATGATGTAACTATCCGTTCCCGAGGGTGACAGTAACTAGTGCTTCGGTATTTATATGATTAAAAGGTTGACTGTAAACTTCTTGTTTATAAAGTATGTATGTGTAATAAGGTTGCAACTTTCTCAGGCAAAGTTTATCTTAGATGATTTCAGATGTTCTGTTGAGACCCATCCTGAAGGTTGGGTTTAATGTCTGCAAACGTTTATTTTGACCTTTCATGACGTGTGATCCCTGTCATACATGATGAAAAGTATTTAAACGCGAAATACAACGTACAGCGTCAGTGCTACACCCATTTTACGAGGTTGGGGTTGGTGAAATGAGTACTGCAAAGATTTTGACTTTTAAAGAGTAAGTGATGTGATTATTTTGAGTAATCGGGGGATTTTTGAAATTCATTTTGGTGTGCAAATGAGACATAGCCTTGTCTTCAAAGAACAACAAAGACAGCACTTGAAGTAAAATCTTGTTAATCATTTTGAAACATTCATTTTCAGTACATTATAATTATTTGATATATTCTTTAATAAAACATGCTTTTTGGCTTGCTGTTCGATGAGAGCATAGGCTCCGTGTTGAAGACCGTTCTTTGACCTATAATGGTTTTACTTTTGCAAATTGTGTCTTGGATGGAGAGTTGTCTCATTGGCAATCATACCACATCTGCTTATATCTAATTAATACTCTTTCCGAAATAACTGGAATGTTTTATGTCAGTGTGGCAATGTGACAAGCTTTATAACTCTAATATGATTGTGAAGAAGACAAATATCAACCAGAGACCAAATAACATAGATATTAGCAACTATAGGTTATCAAACGGCCTTCAACTATGAGGACGATCCATACCGTATAGTTAGCTATAAAAGGCACATGCCAAAATGACCAAGAGCCTGTTTATATATAAAAAGTGAAAAAAACCCAAATATGACAGAAAGTAACAAACGACAACCATTATATAACAAGCTCCAGACTTAAGACAAGCACCTACAAAATGTGGCATTTATATGTTTGCTAGTGCTCATTCCTAACCCGGGACAATGGTGTAACAGCAAAATATAAGATGCTGTTTAAAAGGGGGTGTCTCATCAGATCGAAACAAAGCATAAAATACAGCAAACAAAAATATTGCAGACAAAAAGTACCGATCTAACAGTACTCGCTGTTATTGTTAACTTTATGAATAACGTCTGAATTTAGGACCGTAATTGTTCATTACTCGTATTTTCTTTTTTGCTAACCCTGCTTTCGGTAAACATTGCACTGTCTTTAATATATCGTTGAAGATATGCAATAATATACCTGATGTTTGGTCTCAACTCAAAGTTTAAATGAAATAGGGTGTAGCATCTGCTTGTTGTGTCCGTTAGTAAAAATATGTTTAGCATACAATTTGGTTGAGTCAAATTGTGATATTTTTAAAAGCTTCATAATAATATGAAATGAAATATACAAATTAAGATCTGAGAGAGGGATTTGTTTATTTGTTTTTTTTTATTGCAGATGCATCGTATTTTGAAACCAGTCTAGTTGAGGACAAAAACATGGTTCATTGTTCATTCACAGTTAGAATGGAAACTGATAGTAAGATATATGTTATAGCTAATTTGTTTAGATTTCGTCAGTTGAATTTCATTTAAGTGGTAGTTTGAATATTGTGGTAGTGTGAATATTAACATGCTAAAAAAAACGTGGAAAATATAACAGCGAACGACCAAACAATTTGTTTGTTAATTTAAAAAGAAATCGGAGTCTTTTGATAAACTTTTATTTTCATATCACCAGTGATCTCTGTCTTCCTTCAATGAACTTCAGAATGAACAGTCTTCTGACCTTTTCCACCATCGGTTTCTTTTCCTAGAAATATATAATTTAAACATTCTTTGAACATTTTATATTGAAAATTTGAAGCATAATGTCAAGCGAACATTAAACATTAAAACATTAAATGTTCATACTTAACTATAAAATTTAGGATCATTAAGAAATATTTCTTCTGTTGAAAGGAACAATTTGGTCTGACGAGTCTATCCCTTTCCGACTGATTTCTACATTTGGTCTTCGGTTATGGTGTTGAACAATTGTCTAGGTTAGGGTAGTGCTATACACTCACTATTATTATTAACCCGGTCTTGTCTTTTATTGACTGTCATAAGTCAGGACCTTGTAGCCCAAGGGTTGTCGTTGGTTGCTGTCTGTCATAACTGTTTTCCTTTTTCATCTATTTGCAAAAATAAGGCCGTTTTTTAATTGTTTCGCAATTTGTTATGCCGGGGGGTTTATATCTCTACTATATATAGATATAAGAAGATGTGGTATGAGTGCCAATGAGACAACTCTCCATCCAAGTCAAAATTTATAAAAGTAAACCATTATAGGTCAAAGTACGGTCTTCAACATGGAGCCTTGGCTCACACCGAACAGCAAGCTATAAAGGGCCCCAAAAATTACTAGTGTAAAACCATTCAAACACTTACGAACAACATCAACAAACGACAACTACTGAACATCAGATTCCTGACTTAGGACAGGTGCAAACAATTGCAGCGGGTTTAAACGTTTTAATGGTACCAAACCTTCACCCTTATCTGAAACAATAGTGTAACATCACAACATAGAAAAACACACTATAAAATATCAATTGAAATGGCTTAACTCAAACAAAAGACATATTAACACCAGTGAACATACACTGAACAAATAAATTTGATCTATGAAACAATGCAAATACAAAATAAATAAACTAAGGGAAGAATAATAAAAGTAGTATGCTGAAGGCAGTACGATGATCTATAGCTGTTTACATCCTCGCCATTTTGTGTCTGATTTATATGTATCTCGTTGATAATGTTACCACTTCTCCTTATTCGTATAGCTAGTAACTCTTTCGTGAGTCGACCACAGTTCCATACGTACCAGTTTTATACTTGTATATAAACAAGCCAAGCCAACATACATGTACTTTAATTTAATCGGATATTTAAGTTAGACGCCATATAAAACCAAGGCAACAGTAGTTTACCAATGTTCAAACATCATAAGTTGATTAAGAAGACAAAGCAGCAAAGTAAAAAAAAAATTGATTGAAAGAATCAAATGAACTGGTTACTTCGACAGGGTAATATATCTTGCATTAAGGTAAGTAATCAGTAAATCTGATTATGCAGTTAAATATTTGAATTTCAATTTTAGAATCACTAAGCATTATTTCTTTAAAAAGAAAGAAGGAAGTTTTTGAGGAAAAATATGTGAAAACAGACAGACCATTATATCGTCGACTTCCAAGCGAACCATACATCCAGGAGCTGACAGGTAACTAGTTTTTATAGATTCCGTCAAAGTTATACGTTAAATGTTCAGTTTTTAGCTATTGAAAGTTTTTTTTATCAATTATATTTGATATTGTTATGTTTACATTATACTTCAGTAAAATAGATAATTAAAGATAATCAGCTTTTATTGAGTGTAATAAGAAACTATTTTTTTTAACAACTTAAATAAAATAAGCCTAAATGAGGCAGATAATTGTAATTCAGCTATCCAAACAAAAACATGATTCACATTTTGATTCCTCCCTTTAGACAAACATGAATAACGGATGCTGATGAAAAAATATATATTTATATATTGCCTTTTTTCGTGCCCTTTGTTCAGACTTTCTCCCAGCAATATATATTTTCAGTAAGAATGAAATTCTAATTGTGTGTTAAAATTGGATTATTATAGAATAAATTTCTCTAATTCTTGCACGATTTATCCTTTTCCTAACCTGTTGATTATTTTTATTCAACCAACGTGTGGTTCTATTGATCTCAGTTCTTCGTTGGTCAAAATTCGATTATGACGTCAAGTTTTCTTGCTTTCAACTGAATTTCCTATTGCGACGTCATGAAAAAAGGCGACCATGTCTGATGACGTCACATAGAAAGAACGCATGCTTTTGCAGATTATTCGAAAGGAAGGATTGAATTTGTCTGCATATCGTTTAAAAATCATTAGAGAAACAGATTCTACCAACAAATCTTATGCAAAACGATATTTATTCACTCTCGAAAGTTAATTCTAAATATTTCAATCGCTCGGCGAGCCCCACGTTTTAAATTTGAAAATTTAACTGCCTGGAGTGGATAAATATCGTATCACACTCGATACAGCGGTAGAATCTATATATATATATATTGTATTACATTTGCCTTCGGGTTTATATGATCCGTTCATCCTATTTCGACTCTTCGAAATTCAAGAGTCTATCCTTAATTGAGGTAAATTATATGGCCTTCGAAATACCGTTTCGATTCCTAACATCACTAAAGAGACATTAATTGTCGAAATCCGGATATGGTGTACTAATTTTTGCACCTTTTGTTTGCGGTATACCATCTTTTCCGCATGTTAATTGTTTTCTGTTTGGTATTATATTAATAGTTTAAAAGATCCTTTTTTGTTACATCTGGTGATCCGTTTATTTGGCAATCGCCAATGGCAGTCAAAAGGGTTTAAGAACATCCGTTGTTCGACCTGCTAGTCAAATGCGTTTTGTTAAAATATACTTTTTCACTTTTTTGGTCTTTTAGAAAATGCTGTTTGTGCTGTATTTAGACCCCTCTACCAAGTAATTTGTTTTGCATGCACACGTATAAAAATTGCGATTTTTATCCAACGCAATCAAAGGTTTAAACGTTGTTTTCAATTTACACTTGTTTGTATTTTTTCGTTCGGGCTTGTATTATATTTGCCTTCGGGTTTATATGATCCGTTCATACTATTTCGACTCTTCACAATTCAAGAGTCTATCCTAAATTGAGGTAAATTATATGGCCTTCTAAATACCGTTTCGATTCCTAACATCACTGAAGAGACATTAATTGTCGAAATCCGGATATGGTGTACTAAGTTTTGCACCTTTTGTTTGCGGTATACCATCTTTTCTGCAACTTTATTGTTTTCTGTTTGGTATTAAATTAATAGTTTAAAAGATCCATTTTGTTACATCTGGTTATCCGTTTATTTGGCAATCGTCAATGGCAGTCAGCAGGGTTTAAGAACATCCGTTGTTCGACTTGCAAGTCAAATGCGTTTTGGTAGAATATACTTTTTCTCTTTTTTGGTCTTTTGGAAAATGTGCTGTATTTCGACCCCTCTACCAAGAAATTTGTTTTGCATGCACACGTATAAAAATTGCGGTTTTTATCCAACGCAATCATAGGTTTGAACGTTGTTTTCAATTTAGACTTATATATATATATATATATATGGTTTTTATCCAACGCAATCATAGGTTTGAACGTTGTTTTCAATTTAGACTTGTATAGGTTTGAACGTTGTTTTCAATTTAGACTTGTATATATACAAGTCTAAATTGAAAACAACGTTCAAACCTATGATTGCGTTGGATAAAATCCGCAATTTTTATACGTGTGCATGCAAAACAAATTCCTTGATATAGGGGTCTAAATACAGCACAAACAACATTTTCCAAAAGACCAAAAAAGTGAAAAAGTATATTTTAACAAAACGCATTTGACTAACAGGTCGAACAACAGATGTTCTTTAACCCTGCTGACTGCCATTGGCGATTGCCAAATAAACGGATCACAAGACGTTACAAAATAGATCTTTTAAAATTATTAATTTAATACCAAACAGAAAACAATAAACTTGCGGAAAAGATCGAATACCGCAAACAAAAGGTGCAAAAATTAGTACACCATATCCGGATATATATTATATATCATTTTTTCCCTTGGATATTCCGTTGATGACTAACGAACTACACGCACGAAATATTATAATTTGTACACGATTTGCCAATCCTACCGTTTCAAATCTTTTCGGATATTATTGTATTTAAATCTAAATTACCAGTTTGTTGAAACAGTTAATGAACAATGTTTTGTCAAATACTTCTAAAATTGACATTTTATTACTATCTGTTCTTACATATTAATGTCCTACTTAGGTTATTGTGCCAGATTGCTGCTATCTTTTCAGATTTTGAAAATTTTACTGGATTTATAAATAATTCCAATCACTGCAATTTTCAACCTGTTGACATTAATTATTTTGATAATATGTAATCTAAATAAAATTCTTGACATTTTGCATTAACGTTAACATTGTATGCTATGAAAATCTGATTCTGTTTGCTGTCTTAGGGGTTCTATTTAAATCATAGCTTTACTTTATAACAATCGTGAATTTTCAGAATGAAAAGTATAAGTTTTGAATTTGCAACGTTAATTCTGAAGAATCAAAGTGCCAGTGAGATATTTCTTATCCCTTACATGACTAAAATATTGATATCAAAATGAGAAAAATACAGTATATGACCTGGTTTATAAGGTGTAATACCACCATTGATTTTCCCCTATTAGTCTTTGTTATTAATTTGCACTTTTGAAAAAAATGTGCATATTTTATCTTTGTTTCAAATAAAGAAATACTTGACATGAGTAAAGTTTTATCCCGTCCAGTACTATAGAAAAAAATTCACATAACGTTTCATTTCATATAAGAAAATAACCACCACTGGAATTTAACCAATCAAATGTTTACCCTTTTTCTTCCTGTGTACAAGCTTTAGCTTTAGTAACCATGTAACCTCAAGTTTCCAAAATATTCTGTAGAAACACCAGATAAAAAAATAATGATGCTTTGAAACACCCAAGATATATGTCTATGACACAGATATTATTTTACAGCAATGAAATGTAGCATAAATTTCCTACAACTGTCAAATTCAAGGCAATATTTTTTTCGACCCATTTTAGTATGCAACCGGATGTGACATACTTGATTTGGTGGTATTACACCTATAGTAAAAAAAAATACTCCATGTCGAGATGGTACATACTTTGGTTATACTTGTTTGTCCTTTTTGGTTTAAATATAGCTCTTCATCTTTTTAATATGCTTTGAATTTCAAATATTTTGGCCTCGAGCATCACTGCAGAGACATTGATTGCCGAAATGCGCATCTGGTGCAGCAAAATTGGTACAGTTTATACTTTAAAAGTTTACAAATTTCATACTTTTAGACCCAACACCTATTATTGCCGCTATTGATTTTGGAACTACATATTCTGGATTTGCCTTCTCCCAAAAGAAGAAACACGCCAAGATAATAACAAAACAATGGCACAGTTCTAGTGGTAGTGCCTTACAGTCGTTTAAGACACCAACAAGCATACTTTTACAACCTGACGGCAACTTTGGCTCTTTTGGATATGAAGCAGAAGAAAAATACGATTTGTTAAGCAACGGAGGCGATCATACAAGATGGTATTTCTGCAGACATTTTAAAATGGAACTGCACTCCTCAGAGGTATGTAGATATGCATTATTGTTGAACACAGTTTTAATAAAACATCACAAATTTTAGAGAATTTTGTAATTTTGTTATTTACCAACATGGATATATTTTTCTGAAAATTGGTCAAAATGTAGTTACCATCTTTATGCATTTCTAGTATAGGAACATGTTCAAGAATTGATTGTTCTAATGTGGTTAGAAACTTAAAGTACCCATATGAAGCAGCAATACTGTGAAATGTAGTGTATATTTCATGAGGTTTAGAAAATTGCCATAACATTAACTGTACTAATTTTCAAAAACTGTCTATTAAGTGATGCTCGAGGCTTAATTATTTGAAAATAAACTTACTTAAAAAAATGAAGAGCTGTTAAATCCAAAAAAGGATGTGAAATATAATATATACAGATATTGGCTCTACGTCTTTTTTTTTCCTGATTGCCTGTCTAAGGCTATTAATTACCTGACCAATATATATAAGTTAGAATTTGCTATTCATTCTGCCACTATGCAGTTTTGAACGTATACATAGTCAAGTACAATTAATAATAAAACTTGGAGGTTCTTCAATTTTTGAATAAATATATACCGAGTGAACACAAATCAGTGTTCTTGTTGCCCCATACTGGTTTTGTTTCTATGTTTGCAGTTTCACGGTTTGGAAGCTCGAGTTACTGTGCTTTAGACAAACCATGTTTATGAAAATTCAAAATTTTGACAGTTTAGATGTCAGTAGAGAAAATACTTTATAGAACCGTTCATTTTGTCAATCAGCCTTGGGAAAATTTCTCGTTCGTGGTATAAAGTTCATATTTTTTTTTAATATTTACAATAGGTAAAAAAAAGTCTGTCTTTTCTTTTTTAGCTGTTATACTACCATGATATTAACAAAACAACTGAATTGTTTTAGATTTTGAAACGAGATACGATGATAGAAGATGTACTTGGCAAGAAAAAGACCGCTTTTGACATATTTTCCATGTCAATCAAATATCTGAAAAAAGAAGCAGAAAAGTTAATGCGTGAAAAAGGACAAAAAGTTGTAAAAGAAAACATAACCTGGATCATCACTGTACCTGCTATCTGGACCGATGCTGCGAAGCAGTTCATGAGACAGGCTGCCGAAGAGGTATATGTACTACTGAGAAGTAGTTTCTTTTATCACGACTATTTGTATATTTGTTATACCTCATGAATTCTAATGTAGCATAGTCGTTATTTCCCATTAAGCCAATTCAGAAAATTATACTTGGCATTTTCCGTAAATCATTAAAGAAAAGGATGCTATCGCTTGACCCCATTGACTAACAATTTCATTCCCAATTGATTTAAAAAAAAAAACTATAATTAACTGGATTATGTGGTAACGTCTGTAATTATGTCCGGACCATATGAGTATTTGGACCATACGCGTATGGTCATGACGTATGCGTATAATCGTATGGTCGGACCATATGAGTATTATACTCGTTTGGTTAATAACGGGTCGGACCATATAAGTATTTGGACCACATAGGTATTTTTTGAATAATAATATCTTCCTTTGCAGGAACACCCAATTCACAAAATACGACACAAGTCAGTGGCGGATCTAGAACTTTTTGTAAGGGGGGGGGGGGGGGGGGGGGGGCACTGACTGACCTAAGGGGGGCCCGCTCCAGTCGTGCTTCAGTGATTCCCTATATAATCAACCAAATTTTTTCCCACAAAAGGGGGGGGGGCGGTCCCCACAGCCCCCCCCCCCCCCCTCCTGGATCCGCCTATGCAAGTAAAACTATCTGAATTCCTTTATCTTTTACATATTGTCTGAATCGAGGTGTATCTGTCATTTTGCATTCGCTAGTGTTAAACAAATAGCTTGTATAGTGTCGATATTCGTCCGCAAATGAAACCACAGGTTTTTGTGGGAAGGATTTTTAACCGGATTTACGAAGTAAAAAATCAGTTATTGATTTGGGGATATACGGCGGGCGGCTGCAAAAAAGTGTTCGTGCATTTAATCATGAACGGTTCAACGAAATTTTAATATGTTGTTACTGATGACATAATGGAGGCCAAGTTCGATATTGACGATTTTCACTTTCACCGTTTAGTGGTAATGGTTCTTGAAAGATTGAAAAATGGTGTTTCCAGTCGTGTCCATGCTTTAACTCATAAATCGTTCAACCAAAGCTTTTAAAATTTTAATATAATGTTACTGATGAAAAACTTGAGGCCAAGTTCAATATTGATGATTTTCACTTTCACCGTGCATGAGTTGTGGTCCTTGTGGTATTGAATAATGCCAGGACACAAATACATGTTAAAGTGGATTTTCCATGCATAATCTATACAAAATCTGACAATTTTCCTCAACCTGTAGCATGAAAAATAAAATGCTTCGCTGAGCGCAGCCTGATACGACCGCTGTGGTCGAACCCTGAACAGTTGGGGCAAATTTGGACACAATATTCAAGCTTGATACTATCGATATTTGTGATTGTGATCAAATTTTTGCCATAATATAGGTTTCTGACACAAAATAAATGTGGTCAAAGATTTTACAAATCTAATGCGCAATACTGTGCAATTGAAGATTTCTTCTTGTAATTTTTCAAAAATTTGAAATTTAAAAACGTTGAAAAAAAAATATGAACAGATTAAAAAATATTGGACCCCCCCCCCCCCCCCCTTTCAAAATTTTTGAATCCCCCTTGGAGCATTAACCATCAAACTCAATCCCAGTCTTGCCTTTGTAGTATGGAACCTTGTAGTACAATATTAGAGAGATCCATACACTTAAACATTAGCTATTGTCTGGAAACTTTAAAAATGTTTGTTTTGGCTCTTTTTTTGCACTTAATTCCTGCATGTTTGAGACAATTACCCCCAAACTCAATCCCAGCCTTCCTTTCGTGATATGGAACCTTGATGTACAATGTCAGAGAGATCCATACACTTACACACAAGCTATTGTCTGGAAGCTACAAAAATGCTTGTTTTAGGCCCCTTGTTGGCCCTTAATTCCTAATCTGTTGGCACCATAACCCCCAAAATGAATCCCAACCTTGTACTTGTGGTATTAAACATTGTGGTACAATTTCAGAGCAATTGAAATACTTATACTCAAGTTATTATCCTGAAAGTAGAAAAATGCTTGTTTTGTGTCCCTTTTGGGCTCCTAATTCATAAACGGTTGGGACAATCATCTGCCAAATAAATCCCAAATCTTCCTTTTATGGTATTGAACCTTTTATAGAGATCCATTCACTTAAACTAAAGTTATTTTCGGAAATCAAATGTGTTTTCAGTTGACGACGATACAAACAATGACTACATCATAGCACTATATGAACCCATACTGAATTTTGCAGTCTTATATAAATTGCTATTCAAAAGATAATGGAAAATTAAGCGCTTATTTTGAATTTAAATTTGCTTTCAAAATTTCCAATGGACTTTGCAACCATAAAAGCCCATTTAAATACACCATAAAAGTATAAAAATAGAAAATGACATCATAGTCATGGCTAAAATTAGAAAACCTTAATCAGCAAAATTTAATAGTAATACTTAAAATAAAATTCCTTTGTCAACATTTAATATAACTTCAAAAAATAAATGTACAGCTAATCACAACATTTCTTTATAACAAAACCATTGTAAGAGAGGTAACTCTAATGCAAAAAATAAACCAAACCCATTTAAATAAATCATTAAAGTATTAAATAGAAAATTTAAATACATCATTAAAGTATTAAATAGAAAATGACATCATAGTCATGGCTAAAAATAGAAAACCTTGATCAGCAAAATTTAATAGTAATATCTAAAAATAAATTCCTTCATCAAACCAAACCCATTTAAGTACATCATAAAAGTATTAAATAGAAAATGACATCATAGTCATGGCTAAAAAAAGAAAACCCTGATCAGCAAAATTTAATAGTAATATCTAAAAATAAATCCCTTCATCAGCATTTAATATAAGTTCTAAAAATAGATTGACAGCTAATCACCTCAAAAGAATACAACATTTCTTTATAACAAAACCATTGAGAACTTAGAATTGGTTATAGGATTTGAATTTATACTAAATTTTTTGCTTTTGTGCAATACACTATGCTGTTGCGAATTGCCCCCTCCCAAAAATTAAAAAAATTACCCCTCCTTTTTTTTTTTGAATTTGTTCAATACACTATGCTATTGCATATTGACCCCCTCCAAAATAAAAAAAAAAAAAATTTTACCCTCACCCCCTCATATTTTTTTGCCAAAAAAATAAAATATGAAGAAATTTTCTTTTTAATTTCTGAAATCTAAAATGAGAAAAAATTGTCTCCCTCCTACAATTTCTTTTTTACCCCCCTTTTTTTCACCTCCCCCACCCTTTTTCCAAACAACCCTCCCAAAACAAAAACAAAACAAAAATTTACCCCCTTAAAAAAAAAAATTTTTACCCCCCCTTTTTTTGGCAAAAAAAAAAATATATGAGGAAGTTTTCTTTTTAATTTCTAAAATCTGAAATGAGAAAAAATTGTCCCCTCCCACAATTATTTTATCCCCCTTTTTTTCACCTCCCCCACCCTTTTTCCAAACAAAAAATTCTTTCCCTCAAGATATGGTCATAATCTCAATTCAAATTTCCATTGGAGTTTGCAGCCATAACTACCCATTTAAATACATCATAAAAGTCTTAAGGGTGTTCGCTGCTCTTGTTTTTGAATTTTTGCCAGATATTCAGAATCCTCTGGTTTTATCCATGTAGTGCCATTAAAAAAAATTTCCCACTAACCCCTACTTTTCTTTTCATAATTTGATTAAATATAGTTTGAAATGCCATCTTTGAAAATCTTATTAAATCCTTGTTATTTTTTCATACTTTTAGACAGAAAAAAGGTGCCAATGTTAAATGTATGAAAATTCTAGAGAGAATCATTTCCCGCCAAATGTTCAATGGCTTATATCTCGAAAACAAGCACACGAACCCTTCATTTTTTTCTGCTTTTTTTGTTCCATTACTTATATACTATCAATCTATAACAGTCTTTTAAAAAGCTTGTTATTTTAAAACAGAGAAGTGAACATCCTTAAAATAGAAAATGACATACATAACCATGGCTCAAATCAATAGTCCTTAATCATCATAAATTTAATAGTAACTTCTCAAAGTAAATTGACAGCTAATCACCTCAAGACAATACAACATTCCTTTATACAAAATTTAAAACATTGTTTGTGTTTGGATTACCTCCCTTACACTGCTTTTAAATTGTCTTAATTGTACATTAACCAGGAAACCCTTGTTTTCCCCTTTTTTGCCCCTAATTCCTAAACGGTTTGAGCCATAACCCCCCAAAGCCAATCCTAACCATCCCTTTGTAGTATAGAAACTTGTGTATAATTTCAGAGAGATTCTTACACTTAAACAAAAGTTATTGTCTGGAAACTAAATAGATGCTTATTTGGGCCTCTTTTTGGCCCTTAATTCCTAAATTGTTAGGACCATAACCCCAAAATCAATCCTAACCTTCCTTTTGTGGTTATAAACCTTGTTTAAATTTCATAGATTTCTATTTACTTACACTAAAGTTATTGTCCGGAAACCAAGTGTCTTCGGACGTAGACGACGACGACGTGATACCAATATTTTTGCGGTCGTATAAAAATTCGTTGACCCATACTTTTTATTATATTTTGGAAAAAAGCATTTGTAAAACTTCATTTTGACAAATTATTAAAAAATTGTATGGATTTTAATTAAGACCCCCTATCCACCATAAATGATTTGTACATAAGGAAACCAGAGGTTAGGTTTCTCTTATGAAAATGTGGTTTTAAATAATTTGCTCAATAAAACGCTAATGTATAGATGACGTATTACATTACAAACGTGAGCTTTCGATTACTTAGTCTATTATTGTCTATAATATATAAGAATTTTTTTTTTGAAATTCGATTTAAAGAATAAATCTTACATATTCAGATTTTTTGCCATTTATAAGTTTCATGAATGCCACAAATGATCAAATAATATATATTCTGATTTTTGTCTAAAAAGCCATGCATATATGATTATCAGAACAAAGAACAGTACTAACACATATCATTGTATGCATAACTGATCTTATATATTTTACAAAAAAAATCAGTTATTTCTAAGTGTGAATATTTGACCAACTCAAGATTATTAAGTGACTACTAAGGGGACGTTTACCTTGTCGACGCAAGCGGTCTAGTTCCTTTGGGAGCCATGCAATCTCCAAGATTATGTTAGTTATAAAAATAAAAGAAAAAAAAAACCAATATCGACCTCCGAGGAAAATTCAAAACGGAAAGACCCTAATAAAATTGCAAAATCAAAAGCTCAAACGCATCAAACGAATGGATAACAACTGTCATATTCCTGACTTGGTGCAGACATTTTCTTATGAAGAAAATGGTGGATTAACTCTGGTTTTATAGCTAGCTTAACCTCTCACTTGTATGACAGTCGCATAGAATTCCATTATACTGACAACGATGTTTGAACAAAACAAGCAGACATAATAGGTAAAAATGTCAAATAGTAACTTTATTTGTATTTTAGATTTAAGATTTAAATATCGAGAAAACTACTGTTGCCTACATTTGCTATGTCAGTCGGCTACACTTATAGTCATATTGAATATTGTAAGTCTGGTTTGTGGTCTCTAGTATCAACTGTTAATAAAGGCAACAGAAATATACCGGTGTTTAAACACCGGCTGTAACAACGGTTAGCCTTCAGTTGCATTATTAGATGTAAGAAATGGAAACAGCACTGTATAAGTTTCATTCGCTTTCTGGATTAACCTTCTTCAAGAAAGATCAAAGCCGAATATTTGAAAGCTAAGGATGTATCAGAACCGAAAAAATCGAAGAGCTATATGATCAAAACGGACGCAAACTACTAGCCAAAATTCATCTTATTCAACTTGCATGAGGAAATCGTTTATTTGGAATTTCGTACTTGCCAAGAGAAAAAAACTGCGACAATTTAATGAACTCGGAAAGGAGTTAGAAACTGGTGCGTCGACGTACGTGATTTATGTCTCCGACTTGCGACTAAAGACTGAAGCCGTGATAGGTAATAGGGCAGAAACGGTAAATTTCGGATCAAAAGACTTAAGCATGGACTTCTTGGTCCATAAAATTTTATCAGTTTTAGCAGAAACTGCATACCTTTTTGAAACATGCATTTTATTTTCTACAGGCTTCGATTCCGTCTGACAGATTGACATTAGCGTTAGAACCAGAAGTAGCCAGTATATACATAGGGGCACTTAATGTTGAGAAGAGTCAGGATGCCTCTGGTTCTGATGTTACACTGGTGAAAAGTGCTCCTGGTTCACGATTCATGGTTGTTGATATCGGAGGTATAGTTACACTGATGTTTTACTTGCATTATGCCTCAACCTTTGATGAATGACCTTATGAAACAGTATTAGCAAGATTGTTTTAATTGCTTTATAATTGCCATATAATTTAGTTCTTGAAATAGTAGACACTTATTGAAAATATTATTGTACTGGTAAAATATGTTAGTATATATGAACATTTATAGATACCACGCTGAAAGTTTTGTACAGCTTGAAATTACGGGCTAAGAATATTTGTTTCCACGTGAAACATATAAAAGTTTGTAATGAAGCTACTCTACTAAGGTAACTTACGTCTAGAAAACTCAGTATCTTCTATTATATTTTAATTCGCCAAACTCAAACGTTTAGAAATTATTTGATAAATTAAAAAACACATGAATATGATAAGTGTGCCTAGAGATGTAGAAATCATTAATATATTTATTCCAACAATAAATTTCTTTAAATTGATGTCAGGCATGAAATAAACTTATTGTTGTTTGCATTTATAAGGGTTATGTTCTCGTATATTTTATAATGGTATGATACTAAACCCCTAACAGGAGGGATTGTGATTAATTTTCAAATGATGAAGACATAATCTTTCAATCAGTTTAATTGAGATCTGGAGCTGACATTCCAGTAACTGCTATATGTCCTTTGTTTAAAGTATATATCATTGTCATTTTGCTTAGTTTCGTCTATTACTTATTCTTACATCAGACTAGGACGTCTTTTAAATTGAGTTTTACTGTGCGTATTGCTGTGTAATTGTTTATTCTACTTTGGCTAGAGGTAAAGGGGAGGGTTGAGATCTCACAAAACATGTTTAACCCCGCCGCATTTTTGCACCTGTCCCAAGGGAGGAGCCTATGGCCTTTGTTAGTGTTGTATATATATTTTTTTAAAATTTTGGTTCATTAATATGTTTTTCGGAGTTATGTGTGACGTCAATTTCCACTGAACTAGTACACATTTTTTTAGGGACCAGCTGAAGTCCGTCTCCGGATGCTGGATTATCTAGCTGTGTTGAAGACCCCTTGGTGGCCGTGAGCTGTTTTCTGCTCTTTAGTCAGTTTGTTGATTCTTTGACACATTCCCCGTTTCCTTTCTCAATTTAATATATGCACAGAGCAAAAGTGAATTTTAATTTAGTATTTGCTTACTTATTAAATGATATAATATATAGCAGAGTTCAGGCGGAGCATCACAATATCATAATGTTCAATGCTCTAGATCTAGATAGTATTATAATACTAAAGCACTCGCGATATTTATAAGTAAGGTACTCCTAAATGATTTAGTGTTTTTTTTTATTTATTAGGTGGTACAGTGGATATAACAGTAATGGAAATAGCTACAGAACAACGATTTAAGCAGATAAGTTTGGCATCCGGGGGACCCTGTGGTGGAAAGTATGTCAATGCCAATATCCTCCAGTACATTGCTTCACTTGTGGGGGAAGATGTCATGGAATCATATCGTTTAAAGAACATGAACGATTACCACGTGTTATCTAATGAAATAGAATTTAAAAAACGAAGTTGGAAAAGAGGAAGTAAGCTTCAGTTGGAGCTTCCTGTCTCATTGGTGGAGCATTTCGAAGATATAACCGATTTCACATTCTCAGATCATTTGAAAACTGCATCTCAAAAGAAAGTTGGTTTGAAAGGAAAACATAAATTAAGGATTCCAGAGGACATTGCCGAGCAGTTTACACTGTCAGTAGTTTCTGATATCATTTCACATGTACGCGAAACTCTTGTGAATGTAAAAGATATTTCATATATGGTAATAGTCGGAGGCTTTGCCGATAACAGTTTGCTGAAAGAAGAGTTTAATATTGCATTTCCAAAGAACAATATAATCATTCCAGACGAAGCTGGTCTTGCTGTTTTGAAAGGAGCGGTTTTATTCGGGCGAGATCCGTCATGTGTTATTACGAGGAAATGCGACAGAACATACGGAACGTTAGTGTATAGAGCATTTTTGAAAGACGATTTACGCGAAAAAAGGGTGAAAGAGATAGATGGTGACTATTGCAAAGACGCTTTCAATAAACTTGTTGGAATTGGAGAAAGCATTTCAGTAAATGAAAAACGATCAACAGAGATGCAACCAATACGTGAAGGCATGTCAAAGATGTCGATAAAACTATATGGATCAACCGAACCTAATCCCCGATATGTTACAGACAGGTCATGTACCTATTTAGGTAAAATAGTGGTTGACATCCCACATCAATGGAGGAACCGCGATGAAAATGTTATTGTGTCTATGACTTTTGGTCAAACAGAAATCGTTGTTGAGGGAAAGTCTGAGCATGGTGAACATGTTGTCACTACAAAACTTGATTTTCTTGTTTGACTTTTCGGACATGATATAAATTTAGGTTGGATGTTTACATTGTCCTCCAACCTGATCTGATCTCATTGAATTGATTAGATAACTATTGCTTTAAAATTTTATTCATAAACTATTTCTACACTATAGAATTGAAAAAAAAACAATGGTTAACTACCATTTAACTACTTCTTATTTGAAAGATTCAATTTTTCATTATACTATGTGCTTCTTTATCACTTGTCATTCGTTCTGCAGTTCGTCCTTTTAAATATCATGTTTCTTTTTATGTTGTAAGCCAAACCAAACCTGACCACAACCATTCTTATTATTTCCAGTTCAACAATACATCCGGTGTTCATGAAAAAAAAACCCAACTCTCATGCTTCCTATACTAAAATAGAAACTGATACATTCATGAAACTTGTGTGCCACCGGTTCCAAAAAATAGAAACTTTATGATAAATTTTAATATTCCATTGCTAATACATGTAGTTATTTTGACAATGGGGATTTTATGGTCATCTTTAAGAATTATAGTTAATGACTCTAACTTTCTCCAACCTAATTGCGGTAACAATACATTGCAGATTTCACACTAAAAATCACAACAAAACGTCTAACTGCAGAACTTTTGTTGAATATAAAATATATCCGATGATTATATAGAATGGTGGTCGATGACCCAAGCAGCTTTCCTTTGTAACTAAGAATGACATCAAATAAGTTAATAAAATATCCGGAAAAATCTTGGGGAAGACTTAATTGCAAACGAACTTTTGTTAAACAATTTTTTGTAAACCTCTGTGTAACTACAGATTTCATATATTGTTATTGGGTATCAGTGAAATTGTGCAATAAGATTTTTGTACCAAAAATACAAGCTTTATACATACAAGTCATGAATATAAGACTACCTTAAATGTTCCTATCATTTTTGTCTAATATATAGAAATGTATTGTATAGTCTTTATTTTTTAACACAATGATTTACTAGCTGTAGAATTGTATAACAATGTAACACATAAATTGTTCATAGATGGAATAATTTATATGACCAGAATTTAAATGTCAATGTGATATCTTTATGTGAAAATGTTTTTTTTTTATAGATAAACTAGTTTCTATTGTACATCTTTCGTTTTCTTTATTGCCTTAGTATAATTTTGCATGCATTTGAAATAGTACACCCATTGAGATAAACTACATTTACCTTATATTACCTATCATCCGTTGCTGATCTGGTCGTATTTTTGGAGAGCATAAACTGTTTTATCCAGATGATCAATTACTTGTTCTTCAGAGTAGGACTTTACAACACTGCAACATCACTGCCTTCCAGTAAATGCAAGATTCAAAATTGTAGCATTGAAGTATTCTGCGTGATAGTTTTGCTTTGTTTGTGTGTGGTTCAGGTTTTTTGAAATTTTTATATTTTTGTCAAAGGGTCAAAGTAAATATTTTGTCAAAATTTCATGAAAATTAAACGAGCCAAATTAATTTTAGTGAAGGTGTTTGGTTCCACCTTAATCAGAATATATCTTATAATTTGGTGGCTATACTATCTGCAAGAAAATGCGTCATCTTTGCCTTTCACTCTATTGTCAGTGTGCTGTTTGGGGAGCATCTGTTAAATTGGCTAAGCAAACTTTTAAATAGTTAACATTGCTTTTGTATCTATGGGGAAAATTCTGTTGAATCAAAACTGTTCATATCTATCATGAATCTAAAAAAAAAATTCATTAATACAATTACAGAAATTTGATATAATTGACAATAAATACTAGACACACGAGATTGTGTGTTCGGACTTAAGATTCGATCAATTAAACTAAATAGAACAAAGTTGCAGTACAATGAGGAACATCAATATTTCATGAGTCAACAAGTTATATCGGAATGAAAACGGTACGTGGGAAAATGGAGGGAAGCATTATAGTAATAACGGTTTTTTAAATTAGTTTATTGATGTGTAAACTGGGTCTACTTGTCCACAAGTCCGAAGGAATGAAAACGGTATTAGGTATGAATAGGAAAGCAAGTATATGGCAAGGGAATATTTCATATATTTCATATTTTAGCTATTGCAAACAGTGAAACACCTGTACAGTATCGAAAAAGAAACGAATTTTATTCTTCCCGTAATATCGTACACCAGCAGGCCTGTTGCACATCACTGAAAAGATGAATAATACATTTTGGAAGCCAAATAATCATTTTTTAAACCAATATTAAAATCATGCTAATGTCAATTATGTAGAAATAACAAGAAGCCTAATCTCCATCTCTTTAATACTAGCCGTGGGTCTACTCTTTATATCAAATATGAATGTAGCTTATGGTATAGGTTGATGTTCATGTCCCATTTCATTAGATTTCATGTGATGTCCTCTGTATGTAAATTAAGTAGCTAATCAATTATTCAATTGGTTAAGACTATCCCACGAGACATTGAACAAAACACTACATTCACCTCTTATTATAAACATAATATACCCCTCAGAACATCGTGTCTACCTGGTGCGACATACCAGCGTTGTAATGTTTTTTTTTCACAGCGAAACCATTGCAAGTAGCATTTTAAAACTTATTCCAGTCGAACAGACAAGACAGAAAAAAGCATTTAAAGGACATGTAATAAATCTTTAATTATTGATATACGATTTACGCCATGAATTTATAAAATCAAGGGGATGTAAGAAATTGCAGGTTCGTGAATATTGTATTCGCTGGGAGTCAAAGGAAGTAGTGAAATAACAATATTCATTACTCTTGTCGTAAAAAAGTCATATTTGAACATAGTAACATAGTAAAACACTCTTACAAAGCATCATCCATAAATTGGAGTCAGAAAGTTCGGTTCGCATTGGCAATGCAGTTTAGTAGACAATGTAACTTATCACTTTCAATGGATCGAATAAGACGTATAGCTATGTGGTACCATTATAGCCATGCAAACATACCAAATTTAAGATTCCTATTTTAGGATCTCACACTCACCCCTTAAAACTAAGACAACTTACATGGTTCGAATCAACATACATATATATGAGTATATTTATATATATGAGTATATTTTTACGCTCCAAAACAGTTGGTCCCCTGCGTACTTGATGAAAGTTATTCGAGAAATACGTGAAGGTTCGATGGTCCGACGATCTATTGCTCCAGAGGCAAATGAAATGACTTTACTCAAGTCGTGTATATGACCATCAGTTTTCGTTTTTTGTCCAGTGATTTTATCTTTTTTATATTTTGATACTACATGTAGTACCTTGAAGTAAAGCTGATTCGTATTTATTTTACCATTCAAATGTTTATTTGAATTGTTAGTTATTTAGGAATAAATTTTATTTTGCAACAACGGTCGCTAAATGAATGTACGAGTTCAATATGCCTTTAGTGCTAATTGCAAGGTAAATTTTACAAGAAAAGTAAAATTTTAAATCCTGAAAATAATTTTTTAATCAATGAGATTTGTCCGACAAATAGCTGATGTCAGATCCAATAGACATTTTCAATAAATCTTACACCAACATGTACTACATCTCGAGATATAGGAAAAAAGAATTCATCATTGTTTGTTAAAAGATAGTAGAGGGTATAAAAAGAAGATGTGGTATGATTGCCAATGAGACAACTCTCCACAATAGACCAGATGACACAGAAATTAACAACTATAGTTCACCGTACGGCCTTTAACAATGAGCAAAGCCCATACCGCATAGTCAGCTATAAAAGGCCCCGAAATGACAAATGTAAAACAATTCAAACGAGAAAACTAACGGCCTAATTTATGTACAAAATAATGAACAAAAAACAAATATGTAACAAAGCAACAAACGACAACCACTGAATTACAGGTTCCTGACTTGGGACAGGCACATACAGAATGTGGCGGGGTTAAACTAGTTTGAAGGCGCCACCCCCCTCCCCCCCTAACCTGGGACAGTGGTGAAACAGTACAACATAAGAACAAACTTTAAAAATCAGTTGAAAAAGGGTTAACTCATCAGATGGATACAAATAGAAATACATCTAACAAAAACACAAAGTGGACGTGGACGGGTACTTGTACATCCCAACAACAAAAAGACACTTAACACAGATCTGAGAGTACTCGCAGTTACTGACAGCTAGTTCAAAGCCAATAACAACTGCGTCATTTAGATTTGCAAGTTAAAAAAAACATGAATATCTTTATTTTCGACTTTTGTCCGGAGGCGAATGTAAATATCGCAGACTGAGAAGAAATGGGAATTTTTTCTATGTCGTTCCAGAGTTACGGGAACTTAACCGTTTGAATTAAGGCAACTTTTCACGTATCGCTCACTTACTCCAGTATGCCTTGATTAATTTCATCAAAACTGTACATTATTGTTTGGATTGATAAAAGGATGCATTACATTGCTTCGGATCGAGATCTGAAGAAACCGCAAATTCCCATTAAAAAAACATAAAGTAAAAACAAAATCAGTTATTATCTGAGGTTCTCGTTAAGCTTAAGAATTCAAATCTATAACAACTCGCTTGCTCGTATATATAAAAGAATAACGAAGTCGGAGATCTATATTCTAATTAGATTGGCTTAGGAGTAATAGTTTGTTTTAAATATCAACCGCTTGCTTTTAATTCTCATAAAATAAGGAGCAGCGTTTGGACTAAAATATGTTTAAACTAGTTTTTGTAAATATAATCAATGGACCAATTAAACAAATGTTTACATTATACAGACAATAGGCCCTACTAATTAACAAGTAGTCATTAGTGTTTTCAGTTGGATTCGAGCGCCCTTTAAAATTTGGAATGCTTGGTTAATGACTGTTCGACAACGGAACAAAATGCGTGACTTTATGACATAAAGTCTCCAACTGCGGTTTGAGGGAAATAACTGGATATAATAAACCTCGAATTCCTGACCTTCATCTTACTTGCGTTTGGTTGCCGCTTGCGAAACAGGTCATTGACGAAGCGTCGTTTAGGACGGTAATGTGTGCAATGAAACCACATAGTACATATAAGTATAATGTTGGTGCAAAATGTTGAAGAAAATTAAATTGGAAACACCAAAAAGAAAAGTCGCAGCGTGTCATTAGTTTACTTAGGTACGTAAGAAAATGATATTTTGCATATATTGCTTAACACACCCTAAACTTTTATGAACCATTCAACTATATGTCCAGGTATCATATATAACAAAACTAATAATATTAGTTTAACTTTTGCTCGCGTTGAAAAAATCGGACCCTACCAATGCGCATTTATTTTTTTAAGACTGAAAAATTACTTCCCTCTTTGGCTATGGTTCGTGTTGTATTTGAACAATTTGAGTCATCAACAAAAGTGGAAAATGAACTAAACAATTTTTGTCTATACATAACAGCTAAAAGAGATGCGAAATGGATATTCAAACTCATAAGTCGATGACAAACTAACAAAATACGAAAAATGACCAACAGACAAACAACAGTTTACAAAACACAACATAAGACAAGTAGACTGAGCAACTTGAACCCACGCAAAAACCCGGCGATGATCTCAGGTGTCCCGGATACTGCTACCCATGTGGCACCCATCGAATTGCTCATGAGAGTAGGAAAAATATATCATAAGATACATGCTGCATCTCGTTTATCATCAAGCTTTTTATGGAGATAATTGAATGAACATACAAAAAATGAAATGCATGGTTCACCTATACCAACGAAATCCACGGAAATTGGTATCCAACGAATAATAATGAATCCACAGTAGTCGATTTAGAACAAATAACAGTTAATACCCCTTGCATTTATTTTTTTTTTACAAAGAAGACTTACAGATACAACTTCTATGTATCATCCTAGTTTATTAAAAGCTAGATTGCTGCTTGATATTAAAGCAATAGCTTTCTTATAACATTTGTGTAGAAGATCAACTAAATTACCCAATAGGCCAATTGTCATTTCAATATATTTAATATTTTTAATTGATTTGCCTATATATATATAACAATGACAGCATTCAACTCTAGCATGACTACCGGATCATATGATTTACTCCGGATTGCTTTGAATATTTAAACGGAAATTCCCATTTCTATAAATAGCAACTGTATAACCAGTTATGGTGGAAAACAAAGGTGAGTCAATTCTTCTTCTTGATTTTGTATAACATGAAAGGTAAATAGGGTTCAAAGCAGATCAGCGTCTTGAAACAAAAATGCAAATCTTACTTCCTTAAAGCTTATTATATTGTACCAGCATGAAACTTTAAAAACTGAAAGTGAAAGTATCCATATTTGCAAAATTTCTCCTCGGGTTTCCGTTGTCATATATCTAATACATATGCTATTCATAAAAGGAGATGTGGAGTATAGATCGCCAATGAGACAGCAACCCAACGACAAAATTATCTTAAAGAAGATTGGTGGGTTCTTTTCTTTTTAGTTATAATTTGATAGGTATATAGGCACCAATGGCACTTGTCTCTGAAAAAAATGTCCTATAAACATTAATTTTAAGGTATATAGGAAATTATATTTTCCGAGAAAAGTGCCTGTGGTAGGCACTATATTTTCATATTGCACATCGTCCTGAACATCCATAACATATTTGCCACTGGACGAAAAGTAAACAACAATCAATGAATCAATCATATTGCATTAAATTCCTTTTAATAGTTTTCACGGTATTATATAACACAGAACCCATACATACAATAAAAGGTCTATAGAATAACCATGATCGACACAACTTTTAACAACCAATAGTATATCATAACCAAATGATAAAACATGACTTACAAATATGTGAAAGGTTATTTCTTATTTTAAATCAGTGGTCACATAGTTTGGTCCGAAACAATTAATCTGATAATTTCAAAAGGAGAATGGGAATAAGAGAATTCTTCTTTTCCTCGATTGTGACATCACCGAATGAGACTTTAATATCACCGAATCTGTACTTACCATAACCAATATGACTGGTACTACTAGTTGAGCAGGGTCTACATACCCTATGGGAGCACCTGAGAGCACCCCAGTTTTTGTTGGGGTTCGTATTGCTCAGTATTAAGTATATTAGTAACTAGGGATCTATTTTATAAACTTGATAACGTTTAGGTAGCGAGTTAGTTTTTGTTATCAACAACATATTAGGCAGGAATATTTACTTTTGAAAATTAAAAAAAAAATCAACGTATTCCTGTTTTGTAGTCTGGACTGCCGAATCTCGTATTGTATTCAGATATTGAGTTCTTTATAAAGATAAGAGATGCACAAAAATGCAGTCGTCCACCACTCATATCTTTGTTCCGGTATGTAATTCAGTAAACATAATTAGATAAAAAAGCAGTTTATCTTTACTTTTGTTTTTCAGATGGACACTCAAGTTTCATTCCAGAACGATATTGTCGATCCGAAGTCGAATCTTCCTATGCCACATCTATCTTTTCTCATCAATTTTTTGTTACCAAAGCGTCTGGTTGGTCTAAAAAGAACTGAGCGCCAACTTGAGTATTTAAAAAATTTTGTAGATAAAGATCCTGAAGTTGACAAAGAATTCTTTAAACTTATTTTGGTTGGAAGTGTATCAGAAGGTTACAATATCCCTGATGTAATGTTAAGGTCAAATCCGTTCAAAGTTGAAACACACGCTGATGCCGACATTTTACTTGAGATACCTGCTATGCTGGTTTCTGTAGATAGATCAGAAGAAATTCAGAAACTCCGTTTGGTCGTACTTGACGTTCATCCTGGATATGCCCGTATAGAAGTAACTAAGCCGAAAGAAGATGATGATTCATTCGTATTTTTGGAAAGAGAAAACAAATTTTACCTGAGTGGATCGAAAATGCAGACAAAAATATTAGCATCACTCCCTGCAGATCTGGAGCCACATGGTCCTGCAATTTCAACCCAAGTTCCAACAGCCCCTGCATGGCAGGACATAATGAAACACATAAAATCGGATAAAAAGTCTGAACTACATTCTCATGATTATGTTTATGCTTTGCCTTGCAATAAATGGCCAGATTGCGCAAAATTATGGATTGATAGGCAGGAAAGAGGGGATTGGTTGGACAATATAACAATTAATCAAGTGGTGGAGTTGGGTGTTCATGTAGTGGCAGTTCCACACAGGAAAAGTGAACTTCCAGATTTAGAATGGAGAATATCGTTTGCTGTAACAGAAAGATATTTAGCTCAGAAGATCATAACCGACGAACAAAGGCAGTGCTATGTATTCCTTAAAATCATTCATTTTCAAACATTGAAAAAATTAGACCTGTTGTCATCTTATCATTTGAAAACAGTGTTTCTGCACTCCTGTGAGAAACTTCCAATAAATGCCTGGGTTGAGAATTGTGGAGGATGTCTTTTATTTATGATAGACATGCTTGTCGAATGTTTGAGTAAGAAATTGTTACCTTACTTCTTCATACCAGAAAACAATCTCATTGACCATTTTACCGAAGAACAAGCAAAAGAAGTTCTGGATGTTTTGAAATCCATACGCGAGAACCCATTAAATCCTGTTTTACAGTTTACGGACAGTAAAGTAATGGGCTTACAAAGTTTGTCTACTCCATTTAGAGAGCTTGTGTCTCCAGTCTTAGAAGATGCCGTAGATTTTCTCGTCCATCGCAATCTCCAACAATCTGTAACAGCCGGGTTTTTATCGGCCTTATTTAAAATGGTGTACGTTTTAGTCATTGAAAGAAAGCCAGAAGAAGCTGTCCTGTATATTATTGATGTTTATCCAATTATAAACAAATTCAGCCCAGGTGCCATCAGTGTCGCACAAATTGTCGATTCTATTGGTATGAATTTCGTATCTGATATTCAACTGACAGTGAATCTTTTAGAAGAAGTTCTGAAATTTTCCGATGATCATCCAGATGTTTTACTGCTACGAGGAAACTTAGCTTGCATGTTCCATGCGTTAGCATACCAACACCAACCTGACACAGATGAACACATGTTAGCACTTGTTCAAGCCGAAACTCTTTTTAATACCGTGGTGGACGTGGAAGATATATATTCAGCTACAGCTGTAGACTTCAGCTGTCTTTTAATACGACAGGGTCGGTTTGACGAGGCAGCTGAAAAACTTGATCGTTTCATCGCTGAAGAATTGAAACATCCGAGAAGTACACATTGCTTTTATAAGAAGGAAATAACCGTACTTGACCAAACTCTTCAGAAGGAAGCCAACGTCCACGGAAAATTGTCAGTTAATTCTCTTTCCATGGCGTACTATCTTTTGGTAAAATGTATTATAAAGGATGATTTGACTTCAGCTGACCCAGAAGTTTATAATAAAATCTTGCAGTACTTCAGCCGACATTGTCATCTTATCAACGAGTCTTCTTCGTTTTCGCTTCTTGGCTATACGAACATTCTAATTGAGGACTGGCAAGCGGCAATCACAGCTTTTGAGATGGCAATGGAGACGTGTAACGGGTCTGTTCGACTGGTTAAAGATAATATTGCGTTTTGCAACTCAAATCTTCACCATAGTAATGACAAGTAAATAAAATGCTACGCAAGCGTAACAATTTTGTTATAGCTAATATAAATATAAAGACTTCGTCTTAAGTTTTACCCTTGTCCGTCTGTACTTACGTACGTACGTACGTCCGTCCATACGTCCCAAAATTGGTTTCCGTTCTCTAACTTGAGTTTGCCTCAACTAAATGTTATGAAACTTATACACAATGCTTATTACCACAAAACACAGATCAAGTTTGAATTTTGGTGGCGTCACTGTAACCGTTCTAGAGTTATGCCCCTTTATAAATGGAAAAATTGGAAAAATTTTAGTTTCCGTTCTCTAACTTAAGTTTGCCTCAACCAAATGTTATGAAACTTATACACAGTGCTCATTACCACAAAACACAGATCAAGTTTGAATTTTGGTGGCGTCACTTTAACCGTTCTAGAGTTATGCTCCTTTATAAATGGAAGAATTGCAAAATTTTAAGTTTCCGTTTTCTAACTTAAGTTTGCCTCAACCAAATATTATGAAACTTATACACAATGCTTATTATCACAAAACACAGATCAAGTTTGAATTTTGGTGGAGTCACTTTAACCGATCTAGAGTTATGCCCCTTTATAAATGGAAAAATTGCAAAATTTTTATTTTCTTGTAAATATCAAGTAATTTATATTAAAATTGGAGTTATCTTCCTTTGTTCATGATTATAGTTGAATCAACTACAATCAATGCTTTATACAATGCAATGTTTAATTTTTACTTCCACTGATAAAACACAGATCAAGTTGAATATGGGTAGTGTCACTTTTACCATTATTGAGTTATGCCCCTTTTAAATCGAAAGATTGCAAAATTTTTAGTTTCCATTCTGTAACTTAAGTTTACCCCAACCAAACATTATGAAACCTATACACAATATTCATTACCACAAAACTAAGATCAAGTACAAATTTTTGGTTTCCGTTTTCTAACTTTAGTTTGCCTCAACCAAATGTTATGAAACTTATACACAATGCTTATTACTAAATAATACAGATTAAGTACGAAATAATGTGGCGACACTTTTACCATTCTTGAGTTATGTCCCTTTATAAACATAAAAATTGCTGAATTTTTTAGTTTGTTTCAACCAAATGTTATAAAACTTATACACAACCGTTCTAGAGTTATGCGTGTTTACAAATAGAAAAATTGCTAAATTTTTAGTTTCTGTTCTCTACTTAAGTTAGCCTAAACCAAATGTTATGAGACTTACACACAATGCTTATTACCACAAAACTCCCAGATCAAGTTCAAATTTGGGTAGCGTCACTTTTACCGTTCTTCAGTTATGTCCCTTTATAAATATATGATATGCAAGCGGGGACATCATCTGTGTCCACATGTGGACACTATCCACATTTATTTTGGATAAATTAACTGCATTTTTACAATTATAGAATACGCTAGAATTTTTAACTCATTTTACTTGCTTAGTGAATATTGAAAGAAATGAAATACAAACGCATCTTCTATGTTATCGGTAGGGTTCGTTTATCAGTAAAATTATGCATATTGAATATGAATCATAAAACAAAGCAGTTAAAGAAATAGATATCCGTGCTTGTTCAAACTTAAAAGGGAATTTAACCTCCACAGAAAGTTCAGATCTCCTTGCAAAATTTCAACACCTGCTTTGCTTGGCGTATAAAATCATAAACAACGATATGGAAAACACGACTTCCTGTGCTATTTGACATCCCATAATACAATGTAAATGACTTTTGGACTTTTTAAATAGATTTTACAATTCGTCCGTTGTCTATACAGATGACTGGAATATGTATTTGCGGAAGAGTGAAATATTAAAGTTCTTTTTAAGGAATCAGAGATGTACGAACGGACTATAACTATTACGCAAACCATCAGTGACTACAGAAACAAAAGATATACTCTTGATGAAGTACACACTTTCAAGAGCATATGACTATTTTCATGTTAAACTTCACCGACTAATTATTATATTGAAATAGTGGTGTTTGTGAAAGATTCTATCACTATGGTAGTCATCAATTTTATTAACCACCCATTGTGCCACAGGAAGGCTTATCTACCTAGTATCTATAATTGATCAGGCAACAGACACAGACACTTTCTTTGGATTCTGTTATAACAGTTTACTTGACATATATAATGATATGGATTTCTTTGCGCATAGCACCTGCGTGTTATGTATCCTCGCGAACAGAAACATGTATTCAAATATCTTTATATAACATCTAAAGTGTCTTTCTTTTTATGGCATCAAAATTGATGTCAATGATTCAACTGACCCAATAAAAACAATGTGTCACGGAAATCGGGGGTAGCTGAAAAAAATCTGAAAGAGAACCACTACTATATAAATTCAGCAACATTTGGTTTCATACTAAAAGATTTATTATTAGGAGCACCTGAGATCACCCCTGGTTTTTGTGAAATGACATTGAGGAGTTATGGAACTTTATTCTTTGAAAAAGAGATGGGCGTATCATGCGCTCATGGCGTAGCTCTTTATTTATACTGTTGTTTGTCCTTTTTGTCTTTTTTTTTGCCATGGCGTTGTCAGTTTATTTTCGACTTATGAGTTTGAATGTCCTTTTGGTATCTCTCGCCTCTCTTTTTTATAGGTGTTTCTTATTTTTTTATGGTCCATAGATTTTGTTCTATTTTGACTGACTGTGGCGGCCGAGCATATCAACTATTGTTTGGTGCAATCAATAGCGGTAAGGGTCATCAATCACAATTGTTTTAATGGACCATAAATATATCATCGACGCAAAGCCATGTAGCAAATGTAATGGTAATGCGCGCAGATGTAATGCACCGGTAGCAATCAATTTTTGTCTCGCCTTGACTGAGTCAAAACACGAACCATAGGTATGCTGTTTCCGGCGGCGGCGTCAACAATGTATTAGTTTTTGGTTAGGTCAGTTTATGGGGGAAGCACTAGTGGTAGGTCGATGATATAATTGGTATGCATATGTATTAGCATTGGCACATCTCATTTCCATAGAGTACGTTTGTCCCTGTACCTTCAGTCACGTTTTATTGACTTTGAATGTTATGCATAACTAACATGTTAAAGTATTGCTATGTTAATTTCAACATTTGCATTTTATTATCAAAATAACAAAAAGGCGAGACATATCTCTGTGTTAACAGTTTATTTATAGAATTTAAGACTTTGTTGATTTTTTAGAATATTGATATTTGCAAAGTAGATTTGTTGATCAATCACAATTTATGAAGAAGAACATTGCCAGTGTATCCAACAGAAGTTTTTCAAGATGTTGTAATTTATATCCAAATATTATCTTAACATGATTACAGCTTCTTTGGGTGATTTGCTGAAACATAAAAAAACATGATAAAAAAAAACCCACCGTAAGTATGATGTTACCAAGAGCAGTTACACAGGTCAGAATATTTCATAGAATAGATTAAGTCTGAACGATATCAAAAGCGCCAATCGACCATTTAACCTGATATCTTAGCAATTGCAAATTATTTCATTTTTTCACTCTTTCATCAACAATTAAAATTAAGGAGACGTGGTATGATTGCAAATGAGAAAACTGTCCATCGGAGAGAAAGGTCAAAGATATGAACAGCTCCAAGTCATCGTCCAGCTAGTTTGACAACACAACATAAAGATAAACTATAAAAAATGATTGGAATCTCGATTAATTACATCGTTACTACGCACATAAATAAACCCATAAAAAATAAAAACACGAAGTATAGAACCGACCTAAGAGTATTCGTTGATATTAAAAGCTAAATTTTAAAGCCAAGTTTAAATAATAAGTAAACCATGTTTCCCAGAATAAAATATCAATTGGTACATATCCAACGGGTTTAGTATAAACACGTCATAAAACATTATAAAAAACCATAACCTTGTGCAATGCACAATGTAAGTTTTTTTTCCAGTCTGAAATCGGACTTTCTAAATAAATGCTCTATCGCGCTCATTTTCCGCATTAGATTATACCTACAATCATCAGATTGTTACGTATTCCAAATAATCAGTTATCACGTCAATCTGTAACTTTGTCCCTTGTAATATTTAGAAGGAGATAAAGATACAATCATAGATATACAAACATATATATATACAATAAAAACAAATAAATATCCGGTTTGCTGTATGGAATGTTTGTAAGAAGTCAAATATGAAAGCGGGACTAGATAATTGGATTGATATTTTGGTGCTAGTGATTTATTTTATTCTAGTACTTGCAGTCGGATTGCTGGTGAGTATAAAGTATAATATCATATAGCTTCAGACGATTAGTTCCCTTGTCAGTGATATTATAAGTTATCTACGTTCATATCCGTAGATATGGATATTTTAACACCCTGAAGTACCCAAGTACACCCTGAGGCGCAGCCGAAGGGTGTACAGGGTACTGAAGGGTGTTAAAATATCCATATCTACGGATATGAACGTAGATAACGAATTTATCCCCGGTCTTAGTCTAAATCTTGCGATTTTTAGAGAAATTCGACCACAAAGTTTAACGTGAAAGCAACGTTTTTTTCATTTTTTAAATATCTTTTATTGAAATCTGGGAATTTGACATATTTTTAACGGGGTGTAGGGTACTACCTTTGGTAGAACCCTACAGGTAGACAAATATAAGACGTTTTTAAACTAGAAACAGAGAAACTGAAATGGGTCGAATTTGGCGCGCAATGTTGTGAGAGTTACATCATAAACAGTGTGACGTCAACGTGGGTCATTTGCATAGCTAGGTCAGTAGTACCATTCATTGACAATGTGGCTGCATAGTGATGCATTTACTAAAATGAGTGCAAATAATCGATGTAATAAGATAAAATCGTTAGTGGATTACGTATTTAATTATATAGACATCATGGAAAATCTACAGAATTCGATATTTCATAAGGAACAACCATGGAACTAAGGAAAACGCGCGTGAAATTCCCCGATGTAATGGGTAGCAACGTCCGGGGATATGGGTTAGCAACACCCAGGGGCTATGGGTTTTGTAACGACGTGCGTTAACCAATCAAACTCCTAGAAATATACTAAGCCGGGGATAATGATGTATATATCAATTATATTTACCCGTCCCTGTATGCACAGGCATTTGTCTCTGACATTTGTTCCCCCTATATACCTTAATGTAACACAGGTATATAGGAAAAAAAACTTTTCAGAGACAAGTGCCTGTGCCTGTATGGTTGTGTTTGTGGTCGCCTCTTTAGTTATATTGCAATTATTGGAAGTATTAAGCATTAAAATCAGCATAACACCAAAGGAGAAGGTCCGGTAAGGGCTAATTTTGGCCTGAAATTCGAAGTACATCTGATGAAAGATTGTTTACATTTTTTTAAATACTTAAGTGTCTACTTCAGTCCATTCAATTAGTTTATGTTGAAAATTTGAACTGATATGGTCTTTAAAGACGCTCAAATTCAAGCTTATATATGGAAAATCTATCAAATATGCCATGAAACGTCACTTATCAGATGGTTTTTGTCTAAAACGTAAGTGGCCGCATTCGTTGAAATTCAGTCTCAACATTTATATATGTTATGTATTATCATTAAATACAAAATACATTTAAATATTAAGACTGAACACAAGTGCGGCCACTTCAATTTTAGACAAAAACCGTCTTAAAATTAGCACAAATGCTAAAATTGTGAAAATTTCAGTATTTTTGCATGAAATAATGATGCTAGTACCTGATGCATGTCCATTGTACTGTCGAAAACAACCCTTATTTATGTAACAAAAGTACTCTTCTTTCCAATAAGTAGCTTAAGTTTACATTTTTTACAACTTTGTAAAAACGTTATATTTTGGGACCAAAAAGGGGTCTTACCGGGCCTATTCCTTTCGTACCTTTAAAATCCATCAACATAGAGTATTTACTGGCATTTTCTTACATTTTTTTTGTAAACATATATTTTGCTGTTACTTGAATGTAAACTGTGTTTCACAATGCATTACTTTTCATTCAGTTTTTATTTTGAACAATTGACTACTGTATGATTGTGTAACGTCTTGATAGTAATGTAACATTTTTTGATAAGAAGAGTAAAATCAAGAAATTGCACGGACACGAAACAACACTGATCCAATGACCTGTTTACATATTTTTTTTTAATACATTAATTCCCGCGTCGTTGACACGTTCAGTTAGACTAGACGCTCTATTTTTGATGACTGCATTATGTAACAATTTTGCTATACGAAAGCTTAGTTTAAAACTACACCAATAAATACTGATATGTGTTGATGTTTTAAGGCGAAAAGTTATTAAGAGTGTAAGAATGCATGATGTATCATATTTTCACCTTGCTTTATTTAAAACGACAACGTATAAAAGAAAGCAAGGTACAAGTAAGTAAATAAATCCAGTTTGGTTCTATACTTGACGATTTATTACTTAAGTCGTATATGTAAGCTTTCGACGATCAATGCAATATCCCTATCCTTTAACTTTTCGACTATTTAGAGGATATCCTGTCAGATTCTTTTCACTGAGTAATTCAAAATTTGGTTGCTATCTTGTCAGATCGTGTCAATGCTCACACCCAATCAAATGAATACGACACAAACAGCCACACTAATGTCGGTTTCGTATCATAATTGACTTATACGCCCTAGAAATCGACATGGAGGGTCGGTTGAGAACTAAACTATGAAACAAATGAGACCATAAATTCCTATTGGAAACTATTTCTATGTAACAACATTCCAACAGTTTCTTCATATGAGGTATATATCTCTCAGTAAATACGATGTTTAGGAAGCTTGTGTTGCTAATCATGATGTTCTAGATCTTGATAGCGATTTAGTAATAAAAAGCATAACAAGAATCCCTAAAAATTTGATAAAACAACAAACCACAAAAACAACCAACAATTCACCTCGACGAAAATACAGACGCTCAAAGACAAACAAAAATCAAACAGTGGATGGTCCAGATAGCCTGACTTGGTACAGACACACACAACGATGGGGTTAAACCAGTTTAAAGTGTGCACCCCTCCCCTCTTTTGCTTATCCAGACCATCTGTCGTTAAACTAAAACACACAATAAAGACGAGTGCTTACAAGGATGCTACTAAACAAAGAGTTCTTAATCATCATGTTGAAGTCATTTCTTCGAACACAACAAGTTGGTTTGCGATGACCGTTGGGAATACTATATCTGTGTCGAACATGACCACTCATTATATTTCATTTGTTGTAGCCACAATACTGTCTTCCTTTCACCTAGCTTATTACATGATATTTTACCCCTCAGAATCAGCTTGCCAATTATCATTAGTAGAGCAGACACTGCTACTCTATCGGAGCACATGATTTATTTTGTTTCTAAATCTTTACTTTTAGTGTAATGCTTTATGGACAATTTCTTGTTTTTTCTTGTTTCCGTTTAGTCATGGTACTGTCTTTGTATCATTGTATTTTTGTGATAAACAATAAATATATTCAGTATATTCAGTGCTGCACCTTGTAACAAACGGTAAGTACCTTCATTGTTAATCAAGAGAGAGAGAAAATCGAATTTAAATTCCAATTCAAGCGTAAAATAGCAGAAAGAAAATGAAAAGAACTGAACTGTAAAACAAACGGACAAAATAAGAGTATTTTGTTCTGCATTCTGTTTTTTGTTGGATTGAATGATTGTTCTTCTGTTGTGTTGAAAATAAAGTTTTGAGTATTCAGTGTTGTCAACACTAGTACAGAATCTCGCCATATATTCCTAGTCGGACATCTCGTCGACACATTGCGCCTTTTTGATTAACGAAAATCTGATCAATGAACCAGCCTCGGTTATCTTAACTCGGATAGATTTAGAGTTTGGTTATGTTTACGCCAGTATAAAGTAACAATAGTTTTCTGTATTGTTGTTGAGCTAGCTCTTTACCGTAACCGATAATGATATTGAATTCGAAGCCAAAGTTAAATCTAGAATATTGGAGAATCTGTTAGCTTTTGGGAAACTAGACAGAATTTGCACTGTTTATGTTTTCCTGATAGTTCATAGTTGCACTACTTTACTTATAGAAAAATTAATAACAAATAGACAAAATGTGTAGTTTTGATTCTTGATTTTTGAACTTATATTTAAAAATCATTTTTTGCAGTCTGTATGTAGAAAAGGGCGAGATTCTGTTAAAGGATATTTCCTGGCTGGTAGATCTATGTTATGGTTTCCTGTAAGTATTTTCATACATTGAAATGAACCATATTAGTACGACAACATTGTACTGCCATTATAATACTAGTGGAGTGTTAAACAGAGAGCAGTAGAACTGCTGGAGTGCAAAGGTGTCAATCACAGAAAAAGAGACAGCATAAAATACTGTTCATGCAATTATTTTTACAATAGAAATCTAAATGTAAAATAAATGTTACTTTGATTCTCTCTGCATATTTCGAAATAGAATATACATCAAAGAAAGGAATGTTATACTCTCTTGCTAAATGTCTCACAGCAAACATGGATGATCAGTTTCTAAAAACAATAGATGGTTTTCCCTTTTATATTTCATGTATTGTTGCAGAAAATGTCAGGTAAGGACTGAAGTTAAGCAATAAATATTATCAAACCCATAACAGCTTAGATATAGCCATCCGTTGATCAATTGTGGCTACTCGTTTGCTGTGTCAGATCAGGCAAACGTTGGTTCGTTTTTAGGAAAAGAACTATTGTTTTATGAATGGAAATGTGTTTATATACTTGTAGAAATTATGTACATCCCCATTGAGAAACCCCTACCATACTGTTATTGCGTGAAATCAACCTTTGGCGACCTTGTGCGTTTAAATGTCCATGGTAAATACAACGTAATACTCATCTGACCCAGCCAACGGATGGCCACAATGGGTCAATGGATGGCCATATCTTAGTTGTTATGCATTTCATAACATAAGGCGTTCATTTTCAATGTTTCATTTTGCGAGAAATTTATTTGTACGTAACCATTATGTCAACAATTTAATATACATTTTCACTAGCAAAATAAAGACTACTATATCAAAGCCGTTTTATATAAAAAATATAAAAAGAAGAAAGCAATCGAATTATTACTTCTTTGAAATATTTAATTAATAATGAAACATCCGTGTTGTTGCAGATAGGTGCATCTTTGTTTGCTAGCAATATAGGAAGTGAACATTTTGTTGGTCTTGCTGGAAGTGGAGCAGCCTCAGGAATAGCAGTCGTAGCATTTGAATGGGGAGTAAGTGTGTGAATTAAAATCATTCCTTTATCTTACCTTATGACATTCGAAATTTACTATCCATATGAAATTGTTGACTATATTTATACTGTATAAAGAAAAGAAGGTGATGTTCAAGTCTGAAAATATTTTTAATGTAAGCAAATTTAAAACATGGAGGTAGCTGTTCTATTGTTTAAAAACGAATAATTAAAGGCATGATAGATGAAACTGACCTCAATGATATCAATTTGGAATTAACATTAGTTTACTGATGTTCGTTCATAAATCCGTTTTGAATATAAAAATAGGAAATTACATGAACACAAAAAACGGAGTCAGACCGGGTGAATCGACACCGTAAACCATTTAAATGAAGTGAATTTTTTTTTTTTTTTGTTGTTTGACGTATTTACAGCTGAACTTGTTAAATATAAGTGTTTCTTTGATACGTTTTACTTGTTTTTAATTGTCCTAAACATCCCAAAACGAAAATAACACTATAAATTGTATGCATCCGAAGCGCTTTTCTATATTAACCTACATCATGTTCATGAAGAAGGTTCAAGGCCATAAATTTGGAATCCAAGGACGTATCAGTCCCGAAACACTTGAAAATGTATGACCAAAGGGGACCTCAAAATGATAACCGCATCCATCTAAGTTCAACTTTGCCTGAGACACTGGCTACTGAACTGATGATAGCCTCGGGAACTAATAGTTTACCAGCTTCGAACGTGGGGATACTCAAATATTAACTAACGAAAAAGTGTTCAATGCTTCTCCAAAGTTTGGAACCAGTACAGTAATTGTTCTTTTTTAATTTAAAATATTGCTCATGTCTATCGAACTGGCAATACTAAGATTTTGTCCGTTTCTTTGAATTACTTTACAATTTTGGAGATCGTTTTAAATTAAGGAACATATCTCCTTCTTGTATAGCTCTGCTTCCTTGTCCTGCTTAAGCTTTACATTTGGTCTTGTTTGGTTTTATCGTCTCTTCAACGTTTGAATTAGATTGTGGATTTTCAAATATTTTGGCTTCGAGCATCACTATTGAGACATTGATTGTCGAAATGCGCATCTGGTGCAGTGAATTAAGTGCGGTTAATCTCATGACAACTTATCATAACTATATGAGTACAAGATAATTTACGGAAAACGTCAGTGACAAGGAAACCAAAAAAACAACAACATTGAAACCAAAAATACACCAAGAATTCAACACATTTTCGCCTTCAGAAATTTAATTTTAGCTTAATTTTTTACAACATGCTATGCAGACACAGAGATACAAACTGCAAGGCAGATAACAGTCCATTAGCTATGCCAGGGACCCAGTCGATATAAATCAGAATTAACATTACTTATCCTTTTTCGTTTGGATGCACTTTGAAACCTTATCAGAGATGTTCGGAGACAAAATATGAATATACGAATATAAAGATCAGTATTGATCAAATATATAATGTGTTTTCCCTTTCGCAGCCGGAACACCTCTTGTAAGGTAACTGTAACATACAAACACATACGTTTAGGTCAAATAAAGTCTCTCATCTTGAACATTACACACTTGTATTTTCAGGCTGCACTCTGTCTTCCTCTGTTAGGATGGGTATTTCTACCTATATATCTATCTTCAGGGGTAAGTAAACTTTTATGTAGTTTATTTTCTTTCAATGAAGTATCTTTAAAAATTAAAAATTAAAACATATGGATAATGAAATCTTAAAATTTAAAAATTTTTAAATTTAATGATGATGATGATGACGATGATGACGATGATGATGATGATGATGATGATGATGATGATGATGATGATGATGATTAGTATACATTATTTCGTTAGTCATGTTTGAACGGTCTTTAATTCCAAATTTATCGCCGCTAAATATAAACATTGAAATTAATTTCAGCGATAATATATCCAATTCGTTATAGAATACCATTGTACGTACTAAGATAAACTAAATAAATAATGACATAGTAACGGTTTTAACATCTAGGTATTTACAATACCGGAATACTTGTCCAAGAGATTTGGAGGGACCAGACTTAGAACATATCTCAGTATACTGGCACTGTTTTTGTACATAGCAACAAAAATATCGGTATGTATATTATTGTTATCTTCCATATTGTTAGACGACCAAGGGGCTAAACTCCATATCCAGCTAGGGTTCCCTATTATAGGATAATTTGAAGGATATATTGTATTACGTTTTTGTTTTATATACTTAAATGGCAAAGTTTTACTATAAAACACGTGTACATGGACTTTTTTCTAAACAAACGTGCTCCATAATTCTGTGTTGATTATTGATTAAGGTCACGTTTGGAAAACTTCGATAATAAAACACGACAGTTAAATTTATTTTCAGCAGGAAAGGTTTCACTGAACGAAATATTATTTGTAGAGTATATATTATGATTTAAAAAAAATCGTGCATAGAGGACTTAGTGTAGTATATATACATGCATTGGTTCAATAATTTCCTTAACAGTATAATTACAAGAAACTCATTGTATATGACTTAAAAAAAAACTTAATCTGGATTTAACATAACTTAGATATAGTCACTATCACTTCATGTTTAAAAGCATTGAATCTTGTAAACATTTCATAACATTGTGTAGATTATTTTTATATTGAAAATAATAGATTTTGCTCTTATCATAAATGCTCTTGCGCTTTCTTTAACAACATGTTCCTTTCATATCATTTTGTTTAATAAAAAGTGATTATCTTTATGACATTGATGTTACAATTCAGACATGATTGACTATATACTCCTCAGGTTGATGTTTATGCAGGTTCTGTGTTCATACAACAAGCATTAGGATGGAACACGTACCCATCAATCATTGGGTTACTGGTTATCACAGCAGTATACACAGTCATAGGTAATAACTTAGAGAAAGTATTTTAATCTATATTTTCGGTTGGCCTAACTTAAGTCTAGCAAATGTTTAATTGTAATATAAAACACTGCATTAAGCATGACGATAAAAAACCTAAATTTAAGGCAAAAAGAGTATTATACTGACTACCTTTTACTCCAAAGTTGTAGAACTACAAGAGTTGACTTAGGTATAGAATATGGTCATCCTTTGGACTTTTCCCGTTCCGGCAGTAAAACCCTTGTTAAAGCTGGACGTTCGTTTGGCTGTACTTGATGTATAAGTACGCAGTCACGTCTGGTTGGAATTGGGACGTGAAATCTGATGCCTTGTGTAGAGAGAGTGCAACACCCTTTGCACGTTAAAGAACTCGTGTTACAACTGTTCATGGGGTCCGTAGATGGCCTATTGCAAGGCAAAATTTCTGTTCCTATCTAACATACCATCCTTATCCAGTAGCAGTCCAAACTTTCCGCCTTTCATTGAATTAATTTCAATTTGTTCTCGTCCTAAACATGCATGAAATATTTGCCACTGGACTCAAAGTAAACAACAATCAATCCAAAATTGTAAATAAAATTAAAACCAGCACAAAAATAACCCAATATACAATACATTTTATCGAGGAAAAGTAGTCGCGTTAATATTTGTAAATGAAATATAATATATTCATATTGATGTTATCTTTAATCCTAAAGTTTTTCTTCGTTAACTAGACTATTCCCTTGACAGGAAATATAATTCTTTCTAATATTTAATATACACCAGTACTGCTCTATTGGTACATAAATGTCCTAACTATTTTAGGTGGATTGGCAGCTGTTATATTCACAGATACTTTACAGACAATTATAATGTTAACAGGAGCAATATCTCTTTCTGTTCTAGGTTAGTCAATATAAAATTTAAAAAAAACTATATCCGTATTTGCCTATACCAAATATTTTGTTTTATACGTCTATCGTAATTAAACTTAAAGCATATCATAAAGTTATGCTTTTTTATAACAGTCGAATAATGCTTTTGAGAGGAAATGAGATACTAAAGTACTATACTGAAATTTCCAAAGACTTGTAGGTCTACCTAAAAAATATGAAAGTAAAACCTTTAGCATCGATGGTGAAAAACATAAGATTTATTTTATTACAAAATATTTAATAGGGTAAAACGCAGGATACACTTCACAAGAAAACAAACACATTTGTTAATTCAATACAGTAAATGTTTTCTTTATACGCTAGGATTTATCAAAGTTGGAGGAATAAATGGATTAGTACCTAAATATATGGATGCTATACCCGACAGTTTACGTTACGCAGGTAGTTTCAATACATCGTCGAACATTACATCAAATTTAACAAGTCATTGTGGATACCCAAGGGTTGATTCTTTTCATATCATCCGTGATCCAGTAGACTCTGATCTACCATGGCCAGGACTTCTGATCAGAAGTACTTTTGTATCTACGTGGTATTGGTGTGCTGACCAGGTAATTAAAAATTAAGATTTGTTCCTATAAAACCGCTTTTTAAATGTCGAGAACCATGAAATATTCAAACGGTGTGTTCAAAAGGAAAACAAAATTCTTGTACCATTAAATGAATTAAAATAATATATATGTAGTGCGACGATATACACTATGGCCCGCACATGCAAAAGAAGTTTTAAAAAGCATATTTTTTATTCCGTTGCACACTGCCTCCACACATATTCCTGTGGTGTGCCAGAAAGTAGAGGATATTATTTGCAAGAAAGAATATGGCTTATGAATCATATGAAGCTCGTCACGTGGTCTTCACTGCTGAACGATGAGCATAAACTCACATCAACTTGATGTTACTTTTGAAGAACAGTTTACCTCAACGTTATCTGATATAGATCCGTTCCTTTGTCGGCTGTTTTACTACTAAGGACCATTAAATGATTTTAATTCTCCCAGTATTCGATTTTCAATATATGAGCTGCGTCGGATAGAAATCGACCTTATGCAAATGCACGTATACATGTATATGTTTAAAATTTTGATTGATTTTGGAAAATCAAATACAAAATAAAAGATGAATTTTGGTCTGTTTTGTAGATTTTCTTATAGCAGCTCAATTTTCAGAATTTCCATAGAGAATTTTTCAACCCAAAATAGGTTAACAGATGTATTGATATTCATTTGCATAAGGTCGATTTCTATCCGACGCAGCTCATATCTTTGTTGGCTTCGTTCATATGGAATCTGATAACATTAATGTTTTTGGTGCCTGATAACTTTTGTATCGGAGGTGTTAATGTATATACTTTTGCTTCCAAGCTTGTACTGTATTTCACAGGTTATTGTTCAACGAGCATTAGCTGCCAAGAATATTGGTCATGCCAGAGGTGCTACTTTAATGGCAGGATATTTGAAGTTTCTGCCATTGTTCCTGATAATAATGCCAGGAATGATAAGCCGTGTGTTGTTTACAGGTAAAGGATATGTTTCTCGAATCAGAATAATACGAATCGTTCTGCAGCGGTCATCACTAACGGTTATAATGAAATAAGCATGCGAATAAATGTAAATATATACTATGAAAAAGATTTATAACAACTTAAAGGTACATACAAATAGTAAAAATCCATCTACGTTCAACAATTAATAAGTCACTGAAAAAGATAAAAAAATGACGGCGCAAATGGCGACATTTTGACAACAGTTACTCAGTAAATCATTGTTCTTCTTCTTCCAGGTTAAGAGCCAAATTCAAATTATGCCAGAACGAAATTGGTCCCGCACGAAAGTTTCGCGCAATGTTGGGCAAAACGGAACATTCTCTCTTGGCTATTTCCATTTTTAGATAAAATTAAATTGATGGTATTGAATGTAAGAATAACGTCAAACGTTTTCTATTATACAAAATCAGCCCCAGTTTGTTCTCGAAATTTTAATTGCACCTTAACTTTAAACGCAAAATTTCAAATCAATATAATCAAGAGTCTATCTAAGATATGTAGTGTCAATATTTCGTTTTGTATTTACAGAGGATGTAGCTTGTCATGACCCGGAAACTTGTATTCGAGTTTGTGATAATCCAGTTGGATGTTCTAATGTTGCATATCCTAAACTTATTCTGGGACTTGCCCCGACTGGTAATATATAATTATAATCGATTTACCTCAACTTTTAATTATAATTTTGTACATATTACATGTATATAAACGTCATTTGCCTAACGTATCTTTCTAATCGTTGTACAAGATTTAAACACCGTTAAACAACTGTCGCCTTAATTTAAGGCCCTTTTAATGTACATGTCCATTCATATTCTACATTTTTAAAAACGTATGTCAAGCTCTAAATCAGCAGGAAAAATTATTAACGAATTCAAAGGAGAATGCATTTACATATATGAACAAAAGCAGATATTGAGTCTTCGTCTATACACCAACCCAACAACACAAACTAAAAACAATAACACCAAGAGACCAATAGATCTGCCCCGACTTGAAATTATTGGTCACCAACTCAAACACAAATAAGACCCAAAATAATAAGTAGTTACAGAAAATGAATATGCTGAAGATAAATAAAAATAATTTCTTCTTTTAAATATTGCAAACCCTAATTTAGATTAAGAAAGATTGAGGTATATGTCAATAACAACAATCCAACAACAACAAAAAAAAATTAAAAGAACATAGACAACTGGATGTAAATACATAGTCTCTTTGACGTAGTCATGTACCAAATGTCCCATCAATTGAATGTTATGGTTTATAGTAAAGATTTTTAAGGTTATCTATTGGTAATTATTTGCTTTCTCTGTCTTTATTTATGTGTACAAGTGTCTTGAATATTAAACGTAAAGAATCGAGAAAGGAATTAAATAACCAGAGAAAAAAATCACCAATCCCTTATCCGGTTTTGACTATACTGTATGTCCTTTATGGTGTGAACAGCTCTTCAACGTTTATATTTGGTTTTCGATTTTCAAATATTTCTGTCCGAGCATCACTGAAAAGACAGTAATTGTCGAAACGCGCATCTGGTGCAGTAAAGTTGGTAACGTAAATGTTTTTTATTGACATAAAGAAATTATGAAAGGGACAAAAACATATTATCACAAGGACACAAATGCTGAAGAGGCTCCTGATTTTTGACAGGTACATGACCATGTCCGCGCGGTGAAAACTTTTTCGAATATCCAACCCTTATGCATGTAATCTTCAATATAGGAAAAATCAGTTTGTCTTCGGCTTGTGGGTTTGAATATCCCTTTGGTATCTTCCGCCTCTCTTTTACTGAACTATCGATAGCTGTACTTCAGAATAGATGATCTAATATAATGCCTAGGGTAGAATTTGTAGAGTATAAATGTAATGTAAAACCCCCCCACCCACAAATAAAAAATAAATAAACCTATTTTAGTCTTTTTTCAACCTATTTATGTATTGGGTCCCTTCTTTATCTTCAGTTTCCCTTTTTCTTTTCCAAACTTATGTCCTTATGTGGATATGGTTTATAGGTATTCATTTGTTCGCCCTCCTAGAGGGATTGTTTAGGATGTTGTATAAACATTGATCACAAGACTTTGATGTACGTTTGTAGAAACAGTACCCCAAAACCTTGCGATTTAAATGGCAAATTGTTCCTAAAAATTGTGTGTGTTTTCAGATAGCAAACTAGAGGTAACATTTTGAATGAACAATTTCAGGGTTGAGAGGATTAATGATGGCTGTAATGATGTCAGCGCTTATGAGTTCATTAACATCCATCTTTAATAGTGCAGCGACGTTGTTTACGATGGATTTGTGGACAAAAATAAGAAAGAACGCGACTGACCGAGAGCTCCTTGTTGTCGGCAAGTATGTAAGCAAAATTAATTCGGTGTTGATGTTGCCTAACAAAATAACTCTATTAAGTGCATTTTTCTCTTTTTTAGTACATTACTTAAAGTCATATAAAACAAAGTTCTTGAAATCATAATGTTAAATAAATTATTAAACCAATGCATGTTTACATACTAAAAGAAGTTCTTTAAGGCACGATAGTTTTACATTTGTACGAATCCATAACGTATAATCGACAAAAATATTTCACTCATTAAAAATACTGCGTGCTAATTAACTCTCGGGAATTTATTGCCGAAGTTTACCGAAAGTGACCTTGATAATAAACAAAACAGAATCATGGAACACGTGAAAATTAAGTGAGGTAATAGACATGCAATATACCGATGTTTTTTTTTTTTTATATCTCCATTCATTTCCATTTGTTAATTAAACTTTGTCATAACAGTTGGTAAATGATTTGTTGTATTGAAATATTTCTTTTAAAATCAATTAACACTATCTTACTTCTACATTTGTTTACCCTTCCTTTTTCATGGTTTTTTCCTCGAACTAGCACTGAGCAGTTGCCGTAGTACTAACGAGAGGTCTCGTAGTTAAGGTCACTACATACGGAAAAGCTATCGGCTAATTATAGAACGGGAAGACAATAATTCTGAAGCAGTACATTTCTGAAGATTTTGATAAGACAAATGATTTTTTTTTATTACAAAGAACATGTACACGTGTTTTATAGTTAAACTTATCCATTTAAATATATAAGACGTATTCAATTTAAAAAAAAATTAAAGTATTATATGACTTAAACCGTTATACTAATTAATTGATTCCTTGTTTTAAAAATAGATTGAGTGATTGATTGGTATTTAACGCCACTTTCATCACTATTGGTTTGTTCGTGGCTATCATTTTTATTGGTGGAGGAGGCCGGAGTGCCCGGAAAGAATCACCGACCTTCGACAGGAAAACTGACACTCATAGTCAATTTTAGATTGGAGTCGAGCGCACCTGAAAATAGCTTGAAAAATGTTTTATAAATTTGATAAGTCAGTTGGAAAAAAATATATAAATATAACAAAAAAGCAATAACATAAAATTCTCTATGGAATTCAATTTATTGAAACAAACTTTTCTTTGACCAACAAAAGAAGAATACAACATGAAGTGATTTATTGTCGAAAATCAATGTATTTTATTCATATTTTATCTATGTATATCATACTTTTTATTAACAGAGTATTTATAGTCATCTTGGTTGGCATAAGCGTTGCATGGATACCTCTTATACAAAATTCTCAGGAGGGACAACTTTTCCTATATATTCAAGCTGTTACTGGTTACTTAGCCCCACCAATATGTTCCGTGTTCTTGTTGGCAGTCTTTGTACCTAGAATAAACGAAAAGGTAATTACAAAAAGTTAGTCATGACAATTGATACTTTTTTTAAAACATTTGAATATTTGATATTGAATGTAAGCACATTGATATTTATATCACTATTATGAAGAATGCAATATCAATATAACATATAACAAAAACAAAAACAAAATTTGATACTACACTGTAAAAATCGTGCTTAGATAATAAACCCTTGTATTACATGTTTACTTCTACATGTGTTTACGATTGTGTTAATACCTAAACACATTTCTCAGTAAATGTAAACATGTCTTGAATTTAAACACCTAAATGTGTTTTAGAATCGAAGTGTTTAGGAAATAAACACTAATTTTTAAGCTAAACACGATCCTAAACACAAGTCATTGTCAACCTAAACATCTTTAGAACTGAGACACGTTTAGACCAAAACGTGTAAACAAAAGTGCACAAAAGATGTGCTTAGAATTGTGTTTAGGATCTGAACACCATTTTTACCGTGTAAGTAAAGCAAAACTACAAAATACAATATGTAACATTAAACAATTCCTAGATATCAGGTTAAAACAACAACACACACGGAAAGTAATGCTAACTTCGCATTAAGAATTCGTATTCTTTATTTGGCATGTGGTAAACGATCACCTTTGGGTTTATGCAGAAGTAGAAGAATTAAGTTAGTTACGAGTACATGAACAACTTAAACTCTCGGTTGGGTTATGCGTGTAATTTCCTCAATACTGTTACAGCGATGAAAGCTATATAATATAAGTGACAGTTAGAACACAAACCAGTTAAATATTCGATTTTGACACAAGCTGCAGATTCCATAACGCTGTATACAAGAAATATGGACACATCAATGACCAAGCATCTATTATATTTGTCATTTCGGGGCCTGTTATAGCTTGCTCTACAGTATAAATGTTGCTCATAGTTAAAGGCCGTTCGATGACATATATTTGCTAACTTCGACGTCATTTTAGTTGTTTCATTGCCAATCATACCGAATCGTCCTATCTTTATATTGAAAATCAAAACCATCACATTTATTTATTCGCATTGCTATAAGACGTGTCACGGTACTTTTCTATCCAAAATTCATGTATTTAGTTTCGATGTTATTTTTGTAATTCTCATCGGATTTTGTCAAATGTCTTATCGTTTGTAGTTGTAAATCTTACTTTTTTTCTGTTGTATTCGTGTGTTATGGTAAATATAATTAATCACCCAGTTCATTAATTAGATTTTAGTTTGGGTCAACTAAATTTATACAATATATTTGGTTTACAGTTTGATTTAGAAGAAACACCGACATAGCTAGATAATACTATTAATTATCTAATTACTACCACATTTTATAGTAACTAGTATTGTAATTTTCATTGTTATTAATAAATGTTATATGAGTATTATAAAACAAATCTTGAATTCTATCCTAGTTCTATCCTATTTTGGGGAAATTTCGGAAATTCAAATGTGACGTAACTTTTTTGCGTTGATCTCTTTGGCTAACTCGGCTGTGAATTTTTATGTGCTGGTTTGTGTTGTTTTATGTATCCGTTTTTATTCTGTAGTTAGTCACCACTTCGGTGTTATCATGTATATCTATCATATAGTCATTTTTATAAATTTACTGTTTGCAAAAGTATGAATTATTCTAAATACTAAGGATTTTCTTATCCCAGACATATAACCTAAGCCGTATTTGGCATAACTTTTTGGAACTTTTGGTCCTCAATGCTCTTCAACTTTGTACTTGTTTTGGCTTTCGTACTTTTTTGATCTGAGCGTCACTGGTTAGTCTTGTGTGGACGAACCGCGCGTCTTGCGTATTAAATTTTAAACCTGGTACCTTTTGTTAGCTATTCTTCGTATGGTTCTCTGTCCTATATTTTCTCCCATTTATTTGTATTGTAGTCCTGTCATGTAATGTTGTCATTTTAATATTATATTTAACATTGCCATATAAGCGGGAGGTTTGGCTAGCCACAAAACCAGGTTCAACCCACCATTTTTATCGTACATATTGGATTCAAACTGTCTTCGGCGCTCTCAATATGAAGAACAAATCATCTTGTGAAGATGTACATATGTTGGTTCGTAATTCAAAGCTTAAAATGTATATTCATTTCCAGAATATTTCAACGACTAATAAGTCATTGTATGTCTAAAACTGCGTTGACTTCATAAGAGTGTTACTAAATGCAGTTTGGTCTATTCTAGTGGTAACTGTTGTCCATCCGTCGTCCAATTTAAACACTTTGAACTCTTTCTAACGACTGAAGCATGATAAGTAAACAAGATCAAACCTAGCAGCTATCTTTCTAAAAAGTATAGCACTTCGGTTCCAGTCGAACTAGAATATAGAACCATAGACATGATAAGGCTTTTCTGTTTGCCCGATGGCATATTATTAATAATAGGGTATTCCTGAGCATACAAATAATATCTAGACTGAAAGATCTTACAAATGAGAAATAAAAACTGGTAAACACTTTGACAATTAAAAACCTAGGCAGGACATTGGTGGTACGAAACGTAAAGCAGTTCCTGTTCCAGTAGTGGCACCCGTAGTATACATGGTATAGTTAATGGCAATATAAAGATATATAGAGATTTGACATAATTGTCAATAAGATAACTACTTATCAAAAACCACAGGACAAGAGTATAAGCTAATATATGTCTCCAAAAGCACTTCCGCAAAGTAAGCTATAAGAAACCCCGGATAACTAAATGTAAAAAAAACATAGAATAGAAAATAACGGATTGGTTGACATTGATATAAAGTTAAACGAAACAATTTCACTAATGGTAACCAACGTCAACCGATAAACTACTGGGTTCTGGCTTTGGACAAACACATACAAAATATTGCAAGGTTAAAGCTGTTTTTAAGCGCAAGACCTCCGCTAACCTGGGACAATGCTGTAAAAGAATAACATTAGAACGAGTTGCAAAAATCAATCATCAGAAAAAACTACGATTCTATTAGATATTTGTCTAAGAACAACATGAAGATGCCCTAATTTTACCAATCATACCTAAAAATTAAACCTGCTTTGTTAAAATTGTTTGTCTTTCAACAATCTTCGATTGCATTTAAGGGTGCATTTTGGGGTATGCTGTCTGGCCAGATCGTTGGGATAACAAGAATGGTATTAGATTTTGTGTATCCAAGTCCCAAGTGTGGAACTGAAGACACTAGGCCAGCTGTGATAGCGAAAGTTCATTTTACATACTTTTCGGCAGGATTGTTAGTCTTTACTGGAGTCATGGTTATCATCATAAGCCTTTTAACTGAAAAACAAGAATATATGGTGTGTATGTTAAGGAAAACATTAGCATTATCTGTTATGATAAGGGCTAGTACAGTTCTTAAAAAAGCGAAAAATAATAAACGCAAAGAGTTTAGATGATGTTTTAAACTTAAAAGTGATAAGAAATTCTAAAATTATATTAGACCAACAAATTCAGGCCATGATTAATTTACCAAATCTGCAATATGAATGTACAATTTTGTCATGATTTTAGAGAATAAATGTTCATGGTCGTAAGATGACAATGTTATCTACCTGTCTTCAAAATTTATTTGACTGGCATATAACTTTTTTATTACCAAAAAATTTAGTACAACCTATGCATGTTTCTTAATGTTTTAACGTCTTGAGAATAAGATGAAATTAAAGAAATTTGATACACACTTCATTGACAAAGATATGGTGGTGAAATTAAATGAAAACTATAAACTAAAATAATTTTGTGACCAGACCACACTATAGATGATTCTAATGTTTTACAGGGAAAATATCTAACGTTTTGGTATACACCAAGTATAAAAAGTCCGTCCGAAAAGATCAACTATCATACCCTTAAGTACAGCACGTCGAAGTATTCTAAAGATAAGATATCAAATACCAGAAGTTCTGTTCGTAAGAGATGGTCAATGACTGAAAAGTCACCTAACATAAATGAAGGTTTTGATATGCAGGAAATAAATGGTCCTCATTTGATACAAGATAAGACAAACATACACGAAAGCGTTGTGACAGAAGATTCTGTTAAGACAACCGTTGAAAACCACTACAATGAACTTGCAAACGAATCGATGAAAGTCGATGATAGTAACAGTCACACAATCACTGAGTATGAACCAGTTGATAAAGGTCATGGCACTGCTGAACCATTTGTAGGATATGAATCATTGAAAACAGATAACAGTACTAACGAACATACCGTTGGATACGAAATTAACGACGAAAATGTCAATGACACTGACAGCAATGAAAGCGAAGATGGGAAAACTAAGGTCAAATTTAGAGACGATGATGATGGAGAAAATGAACATGTTCACAAACCCTTAACTAAGAGAAACAGTAGAGTCTGGAAAAGAGAGGTAGAAAAACAGCCAGGATGGCAGAATTTTGTGCAAGAATTCACTAAAAAGTTATCTGAAGTTGACATTAAACGTACCAAATTTGAAAGAAATCAGATGAGTGGAAAGAATCTTTTGAAAACAACGCCAAAAATTATAAAACCTGTAGAAGAAGAAAACAATATAAAAGACCCTGATAATGAACAGAAAAAAGAAAATATAATAGACACACCACCAAAACTAACAGAACCAAATCTTCCAGATGAAACTAAAGATACAGATGAGAGAGACATACCAGTACAAGCTTCACATGAAAGTACGGATGGATATGCAAATATTAGGATAAATCAAAATAATCCAGTTCAAGGTAATTATTAAATATATAGATTAATTAACTCTCTCTCGCGCTTTCTCTTTTGGCGCCTTCTGTCAGCATTATTTTTTTTATACATGTGATCAAAAGTTTCAGATCCCAACTTCAAACACAAAGTGTAGTATCACTATAGACACTTTTTTTATATTTTAGTGCAACTTCATACTTGGAGGCTTACTCTTGTCAATTTTTAAAACAGTTGTTGATGAAATGTATTTATGTTTTATCGGTTCATTCAACCTATGCCAACATTTTGAAATTTAGGTATAAAATTGTATGAAAAAATGTAGGCATAGGTTGAACAATATGCAAGAGATTACGTGTTGTAAAAAACATTTATTGATTAAGGGGATAATCAATTTATAACCAGTTAAATTTAGCTTTTAAGTGTACTCAAAGCCGTTTTGTTATACATGTAAAGGTGAAAATGAAGGTAATTGTATGTGTTGATGATATCTTTTCTTTATGAATTGATATAAAAAAAAACACTGAAAAATAAGGATCTTTATAATTTAAAAGGAATAATCATCTGTTCATATATATAATATACTTCTTAAAAAAGGTTGGGCAACACAACTTCAAACTGAAAATAAAGTTTAAAAAAATCTCGATTTATTAGTGAAGTGTATGCTTTCGTAATCTACAATAATATGTGTATTTTTAAAAAAAGTACAAGTTATGTTGGTCAAATTCCAGACAGCTACACTGTTTGCAAAATTTGAGGGAAGTTGTCAAAATTGTAGGTCACAACTTTAAACAATTTTTTGGAAATGGTCTTGTTGAAATATGCATAAAACGACTTTGTTTGGGATACTTAAATATTGCATAATTTATCTGAATTGAAATTGCTAATATTTTTGGTTAAAGATTAGTATTTTTTGTAGGTTTTTTGTATATTTTGTTGCTTGTTTATAGTATTTTTCAAAATTATTAATAAAAATCCTCTTAAAGATTGACGCTAATAGAATAGCTTTTTAAATATATTTTTTTTGCAAGTATTAAGTGTATTTTTTTAATAATTAAGTATTTACTGCAACACAATTTTGAAAGTTTCAAACGTTCTATTCTATAATTTTTGTCTATTTTTTTTTATATTCCATTTTCATATTTACTGCCATACAAATTTGTAAGTATCAAGTGTTCTGTTTTATAATTTTTGTTTTTATTCTTATGATGATTTCATATTTACTGCCATACAATTTTGCAAGTATTTTATTTTTGTTTCTCATTTTTAAAGAGTAATTTTAATGCTTAAAATCACTGACTGTATTTTACCTGTCATTAATTAACGATTGTTATAACAACACCTATTGTATTTTGTTTGTAGGCATACCATTCTCAATTTTATAGGTTGAATATATATTTATCAAATGTTGGCATAGGTTGAAGACACCGTTTTATCAAGTTGTTAGCTTGTTAGCTTCGTCAATATCGTTTTAAATAAATTTTAAGGTAAAATAGCCATGGGCAAGTGCAATTTCTCATTTACCCAACAAGTTTAGATAAAATTAAAATCTAACAAAAATTTCTCCTTCAGCTCGAGACTGTGTAGATGTTCATTTAGTAGAGGTTATGAGGGAGAACGAATGAAATCGAAAATACACAAGTTATACTGGCATTATCACGAATATGTTACCCGATACTACTTGTTTGGGTCTTAAATAAATACTGACGTGGTTTTGCAGTCTTAGCTCTTTAGATACTGTTTCCTTCAACTAAAACTAAAGAAAATTATCATCAGCAACGAATGCAAGACAAAAGGTAGTTTAACTTCTAGTAAACACTTTTTTAAAGTATAGCTACAAAAATAATTTCAAGTATTTCATTTTATGTTTATAGGTAGCAGATATTCCGGGAAGTTGTCATTAGACATATTTAGAACACAGAAACCTGACGTCATAGAAATAGATATGAAAAATGTTGATACAGATGGTAGAGAAAAACTGTACATTAATGATAGTCTTAAATGGTTTTTGGACATAAATGCTGTCTTATTAGTTTGTGTTTTTGTATTTTTGTATTTCATTTTTCAATGACGCATATGACTGTTATTGGAAAGTAATAACTTTTCTTTCACTTTTGAACCTTTTTCAAACTCAACTTAAGTTCGAATAAGGACAAAACTGTTCAAATAAATGGTTTGAATCAAAGAATGCTAGATTGAATGAACTCATTTCAGTCATCCACAAAATGTCCAACTGTACAAATTATATATACTAGTATGACCTATTTAATTCACAATAATACCTTATATTGAATATGCAATAAAATTTCCATTGTCTCGAATTATTTTCTGCTTTCTACATGTAATTATAACAGACTTCATTATAGGGAAGATTTTCATTTGTACGTAATAAATGAAATAAGGGAATGTCCCCTTTTACGACAGAGAAGAAGAAGAAAAAAAAAAAAAAACACACAACAACTGTAAAACAGTAGCTAAGACTTAATTTACTAGGACATATTTATCTTTTTAACATGTGTGTATGATATTTAACTAAAAAGACATAGGAAAATGAATATTTTGTGGATTGTTGAAAAAAGATGATTATTTTTTTATATGTAAGTAGATGTCGTTGTCTGATTTTATATTGTACTGCCAGCGTACTCCTTCACGGTTGTAAATAATATTAATAAATCAATATTTATTTCAAGAGGATACATTCCCCTAATCTTCCCGAGAGTATTGAGATAAAACTTATAGATTAACAAAGTACATAACTTATTATATCTGCAAACAATATTACATATTAATGAAATAACATATCAATCTGCTGTTTTATGAGGAAACACATTTTTAAAGCTAGAAGAATATTATTTTTTTTTATCTCATTTGATTTAATATTTGGGATCCAGTATACACAAATGTGGCCCAAGACCACAATTAATGATCCCGCTTTTCGTTGTCAACGAATATAGTTCCTTTTAATTAGAGTGTATTTTTTCTTAATTTTTTTTCTTTCCTTTCCTCACTCATTTCTTAGTTTTTTTTGGGTGGAAATAAAAGAAGAGAGGTGAAATAAACTTTTGGATGTTGTATTTTAACTGATTTTGATATGGAAAGAGTGATTAGGCCAGGTGCAAAAAGGTGATATTTACAGTTTTCGGAACATCTCTTGACTTGTCCATAGGGGTATGGATGTGTATTGGCTAAATTTGTAAGAGTCATTGGTTCAATGTTTCTGAATTTTGTATATATTTTTGGACTAGTACTATACATTACACACACAAAAGATTTGACAAAAATGCATGGTACAATTTTTTTAATGAAACAAAACGTTATAAAGAACTAATAGGGGAATTTAATTGTGGTCTGTGGCCTAAGAGGTGAATTCAGGAAATATTGAATTTGTACTTTGACAACTTCCCTGAATGATCTATTGGTATTAATTTGTCAAACTACATGAGAATAAATAATTTCCACTTTTATTTGATAGAAATTTTGTAAAAAAGTGACATTTCAGCCTACATGCCAAAAATTGAACTTTTTCAGTTGTTTCAATATTTTTACAAAAGTAGCATGCTTACTTTCTCTCTGACAGATTTTTCTGGTTTCCTATTTGTGTTTGTGGTATCAAATGTAGATGTTTAACTCATTTTTGAACACTGAACACAAAAAAAAGTAGATAAAATCAGAATAAGAGTGCAAAATGTGCTGCTTTAATGGTCTTAGTCTAACGGTCAGTATGAAGCAAGTGAAAAATGAGGTTCTATGCACATACAAGTTGAATTCCTTTTAGCAGATTTCACTGAATCTGTATCAAAAGCACTTATTTCTGGTTGTTTGACCTTGTCTGTTTCACAGACTACCTTTATTTTCTTTTGTTTGATAGCTAGTGGTTAAAATATTGGCCTTTTGAGGCTGAAATTTCATGCCGGTTTTAAAAAGTAAAGTAAATAACTTTGCATCAAATCATACTGTCTACATATATAGTTGAAAATGACAGTCTTTTTACATCCAGGCTCCATGTTTTATCATATCTAAACAAAGATTTGAGCAAAAAGAAGCATATCTCTATCTCCCATATCATTTATATGCTTTTTAATATGCAAATGTGGGGAACGACCTAAATTGACAACCTGTTTTTTTAAGCTTGACATTGCTGAAGACCATTTTATTCACATGTGTTATGCTATTTGAAACTTATATTTCCATTAAAAGTACATTTATAACATGTAAAAGGTTTTTTTTATAACTTAACAACTTCAGAAAATTGTGGTAAGTGAAAAATATTACATTTCATATAAGGCCTCACTTCATTTGAAAACCTCTATTTTTTGGCACAGGCTCATATAAAATTTACTTCTGGCCATTTTTTATAAGTCTGAAACATGAAGTATGCTATCTGTTTCTTTTAATAGGTGATAACTTATACATAGAGACACTAAAAAGTGTAAGTTTTGGTATATTTTGGTTTTTAGAAGCCCAAACTTGATAGTTGAAATTGTTCCAATTCAACGCCACAATTCAGCACCCAAAGTTCAGATATAAAAAATGCCACATTTTTTATAATTGGTATCATATGGCTTTGAAACTTTGTAAACTGTTTTATAATACACTAAGCTTAAATCATGCCAAGTTTTATTAGAATTGGTCAAGTTTTAGACCCCTAATAGGCCCAAGACCACAATTAATGATCCCGCTTTTCGTTGTCCACGAATATAGTTCCTTTTAATTAGAGTGTATTTTTTCTTAATTTTTTTTCTTTCCTTTCCTCACTCATTTCTTAGTTTTTTTTGGGTGGAAATAAAAGAAGAGAGGTGAAATAAACTTTTGGATGTTGTATTTTAACTGATTTTGATATGGAAAGAGTGATTAGGCCAGGTGCAAAAAGGTGATATTTACAGTTTTCGGAACATCTCTTGACTTGTCCATAGGGGTATGGATGTGTATTGGCTAAATTTGTAAGAGTCATTGGTTCAATGTTTCTGAATTTTGTATATATTTTTGGACTAGTACTATACATTACACACACAAAAGATTTGACAAAAATGCATGGTACAACTTTTTTAATGAAACAAAACGTTATAAAGAACTAATATGGGAATTTAATTGTGGTCTGTGGCCAAATGTCTTCTAAAAAAATCGTTTTCGGGTTTTAAAGATGTTATAGTTTTTCATCAGCTTAATGTAAATCATAATATTGCAGTGCGAAGTGAGAACTCAATAGAAAACTATGTAATCGAGTATAAGCACAAGTATGTTGGAAGCAAAATGACCACAATAATAATTGCTTCATTTATTTAAACCAAATGTAATCTTTAAATGAACTGGATTTATAAAAAAAACACTAATCGTCGACTCTTCATAGGTGTTCATTGCCGCGATGCAATTCTACTGCCCAACAAAGAAAATAACCTGCTTAAATTATAATTTTAGAGTAAAATTCATGATTCCGGAAATAAGTTTATGGTAAGGGCTATCTATATGCATAGGCAAACACTTTCGTATCTTTTGTAATATAAAGCTAATTCTATTTCATTTGGTATAAGACTTTTTATTTATTTGTTCATTCCTGTTTAAGTAATTGTCAATATTTAAATCAAGAAGAATAGATAAATCCCAGTAGAACAAAGTCTCTGTTTTGATCCATTTACCATCGATTTACGTTTCATTGGATTTTATTTCGTAATAATTCAATACACAACTTTTCAATGACATTGTTATCTTTTTGAAGGTTTACATTAATGCATGTACATCATTACATAGATAATGTAATATAGAATAAGATACATATAAATTTACCTATAAAGTTCCAAATCATTAATGTAAAAAATGAATATTTTGTATCAGACATAAAATTGTTTTAACTAAGTGGCATGTTATATTCGTTCAAACAAATACGACTTCAACCCATCTAATGTAAAATTTGAAACATTGTTATATTGAAGTCTTCCCAACAAAACCTATATGATTTACCAGATCAAAAGCTTTCTTCAAATTTTGAAATATTACCCAATGTATCTGTCCAGTATATAATTTGGTAACACATGTTTGTCCAACATCATATCAAACAATTGCTTCATCAAGTTTTTTCTAAGTTGCTTAATCAAGTTTTTTTTCTAAATACTGTTTTACATCTAAAACACTCCTATGTCTGGGAAAGTTATTTTTTACTGCTTCTATTTGACTTTGATTGTATAAAACTGATATTTGTACCTTCATTTTTATTGCATATACCGGTACTAACAATACCTTCAGCAATCTTAGTGAAATGCTGATTAAATGTTTGCTATATCAATTTACTCTGTAATATCACAATTTTCATATTCTAAATACGTTATATGATAATGTGATTTTTTAAAATTAAAATTCTAACATACTTTGAATTTTTTTACTATCTTTAAATTTGAGAATAACATTATGAAAATTTTTCTTTTCTGTCGTTCCACTTAAAAATTAAACTTTGTTACGCCATATTTTATAATTATACATATCTCAAATTAGTCTGTGCATCGATCTTCAAACACAGAGATTCTTGCTATATAAGAGATTATCAGAATTGACAAGTGACAATTTCGTATACACACTGGTTTCAAAATTAGACGAGAGAATTTCTAGCTTTCTGCTTGGCAATCAGGAAGCTCTCTGGGACTTTTTAACACCAGAGCATTGTTTGGATGTCCTTAACCAAGGATTTTCCTTTCTAAAATACTGTAGACTGTAAATACTTTTCCATCTAAAATATAAAGTGACATTTCTATTTTTATTATTTCAAAACTTTATAATTGTACATAATATATACATGTTGACTTTTGTCAATCTCCTATAGGAGGAAATAAAGTATGATGATAATTGTTTTGTGCTGTGTTCATCAACCTTTTAATTTTCTTTGGAGCATACTTGAAATCTGTTGTAAGATAATATTTATAACCTCTCGAGCTATAAACTGTTATAAATTTTATTTGTTAACCACTTATGAAACAATAAAAAAATGTTCTTCCAGTTTTTATTCAATTTGGAAAGGTTCCGTTTCATCCAACCCGTTCCACCTTTATTTAAGGCTGGTTTAGAAAATAAATAGTTTTGGATTTAAGATAAAACCAATATACTAGAATGACAATTTATTTAATGAAACGCTATGTTAAAACTGCTTCAGACGAAGTTGTTCTAAAATGTGTTTGTTGTTAAATTTTCGCTCCTCTATATTGGAACGCTCTCAATGTTTTATATAAAATAAGGAGATATGGTGATTCAATTATCCACCAGACTCAAAGTGACGTAGATGTTAATTACTATATATAGATCGCCGTACGGCCTACAACAATGAGCAAAAGCCATACCACATACACAGTGTAGCATCATTACCGGATATAGGTACCCCCGAAGCTGTGGAAAAAACAAATGTGAAATCAGGTAAGGTAAAATTATTTTTATTTTCATAATACATGTATTCTACGTTTTGCTGACAAGTAGAGTTTTGTGACACTGATTCCTAAAAATAAAGTAACTATTTTCTATCATTATTTCTTTGCTTTGTGGTGGTTGATGCTACAGAGTGAAAGACTCCAATATAACTGAATCTAAAATAATTCAAATGAGATAACCAACGACCTGATTTATGTTCAAAACAACAAACGAAAAACAAATATAATATACAGCAACAAACGACAACCACTGAATTACAGCACATTAATAAGTGCCTACATTTAACTGGTTAGATAGCGCCAAACCATCCTGAACCTGGAACCTGAATGTATAAATACTTGATTAGTACAGGTCAAAAATGGACCAAAAATTGTCTAAGGTCAACTGTGCCACCGGGAGTTGGACCCTCAAATTTTTAATAGTTTAAAAATTTATCAAAGAAAAAAAAACTAAAAACCTAACATTTATAAAAAAAAAACAGGTTAACCAAATAACATTAATATTCCTGCATAATTTTGTCTCACGAACAACAAAAATTGTATAATATATATATATATATTGTAGAATATAAATACAAATATTACTATAATTTTCGATTATAAGGTGCATGTAACATTTTCTACATCCGTTATGTACTAATGAAGAAATAAGTAAAACTACACGGCAACATGATATTTTTTACTTTTTTCGTTCTGGTAACCGCTCTCAGTATTCGGAAGGGGTTATTATGATAAACATATCTAACAATAAACAGAAAACAAAATATGTCATCAGGTCAAAATATTTTAGCGTTCCCTCTATATATTGGGGAATTGGGGTATGTGAGCTTGCTTATCAATGAAGATTCTTAAATTTTAATATACTCATGTTGCTTATTATAAGTGGATTTTTTTTGTTTGTTTATATATTCCATCAGGTCAAAATATTAAGCGTTCCCCTATATATTGGGGCGTGGGGTATACGAGATTGCTTATCAATGAAGATTCTTAAATTTTAATATACATGTTGCTTATTATGTATCCTTACAATTTTGATTTGTATGACCCGTGGTAAACTCATATCATGAGACCGGCACCCTGTTGATACATCCTGTTTCTTTGTTTGGAATTTATGCAAATCCCTCGGTAAGTATTTTTTTGTTTGTTTATATATTCATAACGGATTAACGAGTTTTGAACATCTGTAAGCTACTGTTGTCTCTTATTATGTTTGACATTAAACAAGCAACAATCAATCAATTAATCCCTTATGATGGACCATGTAGTTCGAAATACAATATGCACCTCAATTCCGCTTTGGTCCATATGATATTTGGAACATGACCACCTGATTCATTAGCTGCCTCATGACCCTCAGTGACCATGAATAATTTTTTAAATTTTATTTCATAATCAACCTTGATTGAAATCAAATGTCAAAATATTTGTGTACCTACATAGAGGCTGATGAGCAATAACAAAGTTACGGACATTTATGATTGTCCGGTTAAAGACAAAACTTCTTGGTATGTCAAAAGAAAAAAAACCCGGGAAATTAGATGCCAAGGGAGCAATAAAAAACCTAAAATCGGATGAAAACAGACCACACCATGGCCAGAAAAGAACTCACTGAAAGAAAAGTCCACAAAACCCTACACGTCAAAACTAAATAGTCGGCAACACGATCACCATTAAAAACTATGAGTTTATTTTTTTTGTTTTATCAAGAATTTAAACATATCTGTACATCATACAACATTACTGAAGTTATATTTGCCATACTTAAGTCTTTATCGTAATACACATAAAAAATTTAGTAACATATAACATTCAAAATAACTTCCAAAATTTCCATTTACAACTTGCTTTAGCGAAAATAAATTTCTGGGGTCGTTTCAGTGCACACTAATCCAGTTCCCCAAATTTCTGTAATGTCAAGTCCAAAACGGTTCATTAATTTGGTTATGAAATTCGATTTTGTTTCCTGTCGATAAAAACAACGAATAATGACCTTTCCAGAAATCTCATGGGAAATCAATTCCCGCAGATGTAAATATAGATGTTCAGCTAAAGTTTCCCCAATACATCCATAAACCTCTATATTGCATACCAGTCCTGCTGTAGTATTGAAATAATTGCCAAATGTTAAAATTCTGGTACCATTTTCCAAATTAGAACCGATAACTGTTGTTCGTATTGTTTTGATAAGAAAAGCGTTCGATTTTATCAGTCGATAGGGAACCCAGTCAACAATGACCCGGCTTTCTGGAAAGAGATGACAGGAGACTTGTTGATTGGTTAGTATATCACCAAGTTCGATTGCATCGATTGGTTTAGCGGAAGAAGGTGTAGTGTTTCCAATAGTGTTAAGTATACTTTTCAGTTGATCTCCTGAGGTAATATAAGATCTGAATTCCTGAAATAAAAGATAAGAGATAAAATTGCAGAAAGTGGCTACGTTCGAATTCATTGCAACATTTCACATGCCTTAAACGGGGAGACGTATAATACAGAATCTTCTCAAAAGTTGACATTGGAAAGTTCAAGATGCAACGCTTGACAATATTATGTCAAAAATAGGTTACTCTGTTCAGAAATTAAAAACACTTTACCCTTATTCACATCAATGTTCAAAGAATACTTCCTGAATTAAGGGTGCATCATAGCTGCTAAATTCGAATTCATTCCCACCGAATTGACTCAAACTCTTAATTTGATTTATGAATTATTAAAATAATTACCATGATAACAAGACTTCCATTGGAAACAATAAGCAATGCATGACATCGTAATCAAAAATCAGCATTTCGTGCTTATTTAAAACTAGACGCCATCTAATTAAACGTAGAGATGACCCCCAAAGACTACCGATGATCATGTGACCGTTATAAATATAAGTATAACTATAGACAGACAAGCACGTGCAAAAGTAATATTAGAAAAACTCCTTAGATGTCTATCTAATTACTTAAATTGATCAGCTACAGAGTACATACCTTCTAAAAATGAAGGGAAAAGATATGTTCTGGTGTAGTCAGATACGTTACAAGTACAAAAGACGTGAAAAAGAAAAAAAGATTAAGAATTATATGGCAAAAATGTATTAACAAAAATACCGAACTCCGAGGTAAATTAAAAAAGGGGAAGTTCATTAAATCTGAAAAAAACCAAACGCTCAACTATATCAACCATAATCATTAATCACCATTAAAAGCTTCAATAAGTGGTTTTGTTTTCAGTAAATTAAAATCATACTAAATAGTTTTGTTATACACATAAACACTTAAACGGTACTACAACCTGTCGATACCTTTATTTTGGCATTGCACAAGGTCATGTTTTCTCTGACTGTTAATGACGTCTTTACACTAAATCCATTGGATGTGTACTGATTGATATTTTAGTCTTAGATACATGATTTTTTCATTAGTTGTTATTGGCTTTGAAGTAGCTGTCAGTAACTGCGAGTACTCTCAGATCTGTACTTAGTGTCCTTTTTGTTGTTAGGGATGAGGGATGGATAAATACCCTGCCACGTCCGGTTTGTGTTTATGTTTGATAATTTTCAGCTTTGTACCGATCTGATGAGTTGAGCCTTTTTCAACTGATTTTTATAGTTTGTTCTTATGTTGTGCTGTTACACCACTGTCCCAGGTTAGGGAGTGGATTGAGCGCTCACAAACATGTTTAACCCCGCCACATTATTTATGTGCCTGTCCCAAGTCAGGAGTCTGTAGTTCAGTGGTTGTCGTTGATTCATGTCTGTCATATTTGTTTTTCGTAAATTGTTTTGTTATAAATTAGGCCGTTAGTTTTCTGTTTTGAATTGTTTCATATTTTTCATTTCGGGGCCTTTTATTGCCGACTATACAGTATGGGTTTTTCTCATTGTTGAAGGCCGTATGGTTGCCTATAATTGCTTTATTTGAACTGTGGAAGATAGTTGTTTCATTGGCAATCATACCACATCTCCTTATTTGTATATCATACATCAGACATCAGAGCTTTCTCTTCAGTGAAAGCAATAACGAGAACCTTCAAGACTTGTGCTAGAAATACAAATTAGTGTTACAACCTTTATAAAAATAAAAGGCGAGATAAGCCTGAGTAAAATAAAAACGAAAACAAGTATTATCCATGGTTGATTCGTACTTTTGACTATAGTACACCTATAAAGAGGTATAGACCTACAAAATGTAGGTTAGGTAATAGCCATTTGATTTTTGAAGTCGGGATTTTCAGGCAGACCATTTTAACTTGTTGCTAGGACGGCTTTATAATTAATTTCTAGGGCGACCCCCCCCCCTCCCCTTTTTCACATTTATTTTGCAGCATTTTGTTGGTCATAGTATTAATTTCATCCTTTCTTGGGCCACAAGATTACTTCTGTTAGTCTTAATAATTGTGTCAACCATTTTCATCAACATACTCTAGCTTCTAAACAATTTTAATTCTGGATGACATGAATGCTTAAAAAGAGACTGGCAAATATAAACGCATTTCTGATTTAAAGTTATAACATTTACAATAAACCAGGTCTACCCTCTGAAATAGCTTTCCAAATTACAGGTCTTTAGTTAGTACAGAGATACAAAATGTAGCGAGAACACTGTTGGCCAAATAACTCTGGAAATTGAAATCTGTGTGTTCAGAAAGTTGTTTTGATTACCAGGCCACCATTTGTTAAATATATCAAGAAATAAATATAATATTTAAATTTGTTATGCTTATACCATCATTAGAATTTTCTCTCTTTTTCCCGACTTAATTTGATCTAATATTGCTTTAACGTGTGCTCCACTAGTTGCTGCCATTTTATCATATTTTCTGTCTTTTATTGTATTTCTCCTCATAACATCTTGTAATCCCATTCCTGCATACTCTTTGTTTGTCCTACCTGCTCTAGTTACCACAGTTCTCCCGTTATCAACTACAAAACTTAAGAAAAAACTAGCCTAAAAATAGAAAAATAAGTGATAATAACTTTGACGGGGCCCGATTAGGTGGTGTTGCATCTAACAAAGTCTATTCAAATTATTTTTGCAAAGAATTCCGCTCAAGCCGGTGCTAGGGGCGGTCTTAAACTTGCAGTGAGGTGAGAGTTAATTTGCTCCGTGTTGTAGGCCTCACTGTTACTTTGAGATGAAGAACATCAATAAAAGCGCTGTTTCTTTGCTTTTTGTGTGTTTTTTACTGTGCATGTATTGATTTTGTGTCATGGATGGATACCCCATATTCTTTGTTTTTCTATAATAATAACTTGTATGTTACCAAAACGTTGACTAAAATGTCTTCGAAATCAGGAAATCAGGAACACAGAGTATGAATAGAACCATCTTAATTTTGCAGTAAAACGAATATGAATGCATCAATTTTCTTAAGTATGGTATATTGAGTTCTAAAATTGTTTTAAAAAAATCCATCACAATTATCACCTATCGATAAACATAAACAAAAGTTACATTGGTTAGGACAAAACCATATATTATTATATATAAAGTCCACGACTGGACATGACAGACATGGGTTTAATATCTGTCCATGATTGTGAAATTATAAGGCATTTAAAACTGGCTTTCTGTGTATTAAACATTTTAGCGACAAAAATATCTTTCAGTGTTCTGTGTAAGTTATGGCAACTTAATGACTCCGTTTATTAAATTTCTTTATATGGAAAACAGATTCAATATTTGGTTTGATGTAAGCTGCCGCTGAAGAGTTATTGTGATCACCAGTGCAGAATACTTTTATACATACTCGTAAAGTTGAATATAGGTTTCTTAGTTCAGTACGTATATGTCTTTTTTTAAGTATATTATTCATACTTGAATTTTTCTAACTTATTTGTAAATTCCATCGACATCTGATGTAAAAATTGTCTACTATCCGGATAGAAATGCATAAGCAAACCATTTTTTTCCAACTTCGCTTTACTGCATATATTAAAAAAAACCTACTTACAAATTTACCATCAACAACAGCAGCATAGGCTTCGACATTTGACATATCAAGTAACATGTGAAAGTAATCAGGAAGATAGTCGGTTCCACTGTAGATTTGACCCGGTGGAGTTATGGCGCAAACTTGATCATAATCATCCTTTGTTACCCTGACAACTTTTATATTCCGGTTACTCATTTCCACATTGGATGACAATGAAATCTGAAAAAAAAGCAATATTAGCCAAAAGAAGATTAGGGATAGTTTATAACATATCATATAATCTAGTTTTATTATGTATTATCACTGAAGTACAAGAGGAAAGTGTTCATCACACTGTTACAATGCTACTTTTGTCGAAGGATCAGTGTTTTGTTATGCTTAACTATATTGTACTTTAGTTCCAATCTGCTTAAGAATGAGGCAGTGGTGAAAACATACAAAAACACAATCAAGTTTACATTAATCTATGTTCAAAATGTATAATGGTGCACGAATATAATATTCGTTTCCTTTTCCTGTTCTTGTATTTCAAGATATATTTTGGTTGAAATGCAATAGAAATTAACAATTAAGGGGAGCTAACTCAATGATTTACTATCATTCTAACCTAAAGTTATCTTTAGATATTTCTCGAATTATTAGAGGGTAACTTCAAAATAGGATGGTTAGGACATTAGGTTTTTTTTTCGGCGATGTTTTGAAATTATTCTAAATTGTCTGATTCTTACAAAGACTTGCACTTAAGAGATGCGAACTTTGAACAACACTACGTAAATAAAATATCACAGTATTGCGAAACTATGACATAGTTGTGGAAAATAAGTACACACAGACACATAGTTTCATGCATGTGATCAAATAATTGCATCGTGTGATTATGTTCCGTAACGGTATTTGAGGGATGTTATCAAAAGTAAAAAAATAAATTTGTGTATACCCTTACCGTCTTAAAAATACACACAGGTAATCGTTATGTCTACACTCATAAATCCATGTCAGTGAATACATGTACATATATTTATTCAAGTTATTGGTCACATGATAAAGTAACGGTAAAGTGATTGTTTTTATAAACACGTGTTTGTGTTTATATTAAGCACATGTTTTGTGCTTATGTCTGAAGATTGGATGGCATATACCAGCAATGCGGCTTTTACGTGCAGCTGATGAGATTCATGTATTAGATACAGAACAAAGGTAACACAAAAACAGGCTAGTAACAACCGTTGCCGTATAATTTTTCTGCACGAGTAGTCAGGCCAAGTCCGAGGCGATAGCCGAGGACCTTGACTTGACTGCAAGTGCAGAAAAAACTATACGGCTGGTTGTTACCATCCCGTTTATTTTGTTACTTTTGTTTTGTGTCTGACTTGTACGACGTTTTTAATAAGAAAGTATTGCATTTTGAATTTAAGACGATTGCATAATTGAAAAGATTGAACACAATTAGAAAGTAATACATTGTACATTTAAGACGATTGCATAATTAAAAAGATTAAACACCAAAAAAAAAATGCATACCGGTTTATGTACCACGATGTTTGGATATATTTAGTCTTATAATAAATAAGGGATTTTGCATTAACACTAGCGCTTCTCAATTATATCAGCTGTGTGTGAGTAAAATTATCGCTTATTCCTTTGATACATATTTTTGAAGTAGATGAAAATTCAATAGTTGAGAAAAGGGGATGGACTTCTTTAAGTGACAAGCAAAAAAAAAAGACGTTTAATATATATTTTCTATCATAATAGTCTAATAGTCTAGAAATAAATTAATGTCCTCTTTCGTAGCCACGTTACATTTTGAAAACAAAATAAATTGCCAAAGGGGGGGTTATAGTTTTGCCCCTCACCTATGGTCCCCTTTCCCGGCTCATACGTCCCTGCATTTATATATACCCCTCCACACCAAGAAAAAGCATACATACGTACAAACAAAGCCAAACAAAGAAATATGTTTTGCCTCCTCCATCCCTCATTTTGAAAGTGGGGGCGGCGGAAATTGCCCCCTTCCCCGGATCATAGCAACCCCCCTCCCCCCCCAAAAAAAAAGAAAAAGAAAAAGATAAACAACAAAAATATGTATAACATATTTAAGACATTTAAAAATTCAACGATGTATGCAAATGAAATAAAAAACGTAAATACAACATGTATACATATTGTCAAAATCATTAAAAAATAAAGAACAAAATATATAAATTAAAAAAAAGTTATTTGTCTTTTTTATTGGGAATACGATGCAATTAAAAATAATTTATTTTTTCTCGTTTTAATTTTTTTGATCCATTTATTTTGGAAATCATTTTTTTTGTTTGTTTAAGTTCATGCTCATTACAGTAATGTGATATTCGAGTAGACCCAAGTATTGATCACGTGACACAATATTTTTTTCATTTTCCATCCCTATAACCAAAATGGGTGGATGTTTATTGATGTTGAGACTGATTTTGTGCTATCCCAATTCGACTAAAGCAAATTCCTTGAACATGAAGAGAAAACGGGAAATCCGCCGTATAGTAAGACCCCGTTCACACTAGCATTTTTTTAATCGATCTTAATAAAACCAATTAGCGTTCACATTATCTTTAATCATAACGATCTCTGTCGGTCTAATCTGAACCACTGCGTTCACGGTCTTAAACCTTTTGTCTTTTTTGTTTTTCTTTACTAATAGATAATTGGTATAATTAAATGTGGGCAAACCAGGAGTAAACCCAATTAGCGTTCACATTATCTTTAATAATAAATAATAATAAATATTTATTTTATTATAGTGTCACATATTGATTGACAAATATTTACATATCACAGTATTCAACAAAACAATCAATACCCAGTCATAAATTTGACTTATGAGACACTTAACACATGCTATGTACATATCAATATAGTTTCACAGTTAAATTCATAAAATTATCATCATAAAAATTTAAACATTTTTATGCATTTAAAAGCATATACATTTTGAGCAAAAAAAAATAAAAATCTGAAAGGAATGTTGTTTAAAAAGTTTAAAAATAAATAAAAAAGATAAAAAAAAATATATATTTTAACATTTATAAACAATTTGCATATTTAATATTATCCTAAAATTAATCACAGTGACTTTAAAATCATAAAATAGACTCTTACTGATAGTGTGTTATTAGTAATAATTAAGAAAATAATTTTCGTCTCATAAAACTCTTGTGTAAACATTTGCTTAGACATTTTTGAATATCGGAACATTTCATTATTTCAACAAGCTTAACATCATCATTTAACATTGAGAAATTGTCAATATATTGTGAACATTCGAACAACAATTCAAACCTAATGTCATCATATAAGGAGCAATTTAAAAGAAAATGTTTTTCAGATTCAACACTATTTAAGGAACAAAATTTACACAGTCTATTTTCTAGTGCTGTAGGCGGCCTGGTGTACCTGCCAGTCTCAATGGCTAACGGGAGCGAACCGGATCGGAACAAGGCTAGAGTACGTCTGTACGAGCGTGGTATAATTTGGAGAACGTATGTCTCGGCATAATTGTTAGTTTTGAATAACCTGTACGTTCGAAGTTTGTTGCCATTTTGATGTCCACGATCATTAAATAGTTCACTTTGCCATTCGGTATTATCTAACACCTTTATTTTGTCCGTCACAAACTTCATAACTGTTTTTGTAGATAATAACAGATCATTTACAGTGTTTCGAATGTTTAATAAGTCGGTAATTTTATCCACCTCGCGGCACCAACCTTTACGTCTTCTCGCGGCCCACTTCCAAATTTTGAACACGTTTCGATTTTGGTCTGTTCTTGTTATTTTACACAACAGTCTGATACAGGATATACGCTGCTTATTTAAACATGAAATCCACCCCATGTCGCCCCGACTTGCGATATTGGACGTGTTTTTTCCTACAGATAAAAAGAATTTACAGGCTTTGTTTTGAACTGTATTAATGACATTAATTGATTTAGTTCCCCACACTGCACTTCCGTACATCAGAATTGGATCCACCATAGAATTATAAAGTTTAGTGTATACACTATGTGACATTCCACCAGATGATGCAAATTTACCAAAAAGAGCTCCTAAAGCTCGACTAGCGGACTTCGCGAGTTCTTTACTGTTTTTGATAAAAGTCAAATGCTCGTCTAGCCATATCCCAAGATACTTATATGAGTCAATGCATTTAATACTGTTTGCATCACATTCAAAATTACATCTGGTAAGGTTAAATGACTGTGGGCGAAAATGTACAACTTTAGTTTTATCTGCATTAATGGATAACTTCCAGTTAGAGCACCAGTCTGTCAACACATCCAACATAATTTGTAGACTTTCTTCGTTGGGCGCAATTAAGGCAATGTCATCCGCGTACAACAATATGCTTAACATAGTCTCATTTACAGTGATTCCACAATTCAACGCATTTATACGGTCTGCAAGGTCGTTAATATATACCGCGAAGAGCGTGGGCGACAGTATACAGCCTTGTTTTACTCCGGACGTCACACTGAACCAAGGGGTTAACTCATTATTCACACGGACAGTACATTGAACATCTTCATAAAGCGATTTGATTGCACCAAGAAACTTCCCACGTACACCAATAACTTGAAGTTTATACCAAAGTAAATCCCTTTTGACCGTATCGAAGGCTTTTCTCATATCGACAAAACACACATAAGTTGATTTCCTGGCAATTTTCCGGTCATTTAGAATTGAATAAAGTGAAAATAAATGCTCCTCGCAACTGCGGCCTTTTCTGAATCCGTTTTGTTCATCGCACAAGCAATCATTAACTTCTAACCATTTACTTAGTCGAAAATTCAGAACAGAACAGTAAATTTTACAAGGCACCGAGATTAACGCTATACCTCGATAATTTAAAGGGCATCTATTATCCGTGGAACCCTGTTTCAGAATTGGATTTATAATTCCACTTGTCCACTGACTGGGAACTCGGCCAAGTTCGAAACACCCACTAATTATTTGGTATAAAAGTTCTATCGCCACTTCATTTTTCAAAACCTCGGCAGGTATATCATCAATTCCAGCAGCCTTCCGGTTTTTTGCCTGAGTAACGGCCAACAGAATTTCATCTCGGGTAATTACGTCATTTAAAGAATCAACATTTATGTTAGAGTCGAAATCTGTTTCATCAAGATTGTTGTTATTCTCACTGTTATTCGTAAACAAAGCTTGAAACTCATCTTTCCATTTGTTTAAAACACTGTTCTTATCGGTTTTAACATTTCCTGTATCGTCGATAATGGCCCACGGAACGCGTGGTTTTCGTTCATTCGCTATTCCGGTCTTTCCAATCGATTTCCAGAATTCACTTTGGCTACACGCATTCAGTTGGTCTTCAAGTTTTTGTTGTTCCTGGTACACATACTTCCTTTTATATTTCTGGTTTATCCTATCGAATTGTTTTCTAACGTTACAAAACTCTTCTTTAAGTTTACGTTTGATGGTCTTTGATCCTTGAAATTTTAACCACTTTTTTTCTGATTCACATACTTTATCCCACTGTAGAGAAAGATTATCATTCCAATAAGGTTTATATAAGGATTTCTTACGTTTTTGGTTTCCATTTGTAAAATTCAAAACTGGCAATTTATTTTCCATTTCACTATGAATTAAAAGTTGAAATTCATTATACGCCGTTTGTACGTTTTGTGTGATTTGTATAGAATTTTCAATTCTGATGATAGTTTCATTCACTTTTTCGATAATTCCTATGTTTTTCAAAAAATCGGTCGGAACATTTGCCAATTTAAATTTGCGGTTTTGGACTTTCGGATCACTTTTTAAAACATCTATGTTCTCCGTATTGCATCCTCCAGGAATAATAACATCACAGACCAGTAATGAATGGTCAGGAATTTTATCCGGCATATAATTAATTTCATTTATCACAGTTGACATTGAAATTATCTTAAAATCTTTTATATACTCTATATCCTCATAAGGAACGCACATATAATCTACAACCGATTTGCCAGACGTTGAAATGCAAGTAAATTCAT